TGTGGGAAAGTTGAGGCAGGTGGGGACAGACATCTATGGAAATCACCACCGGAAGCAAGGGCTATCAAAACTGCTTGTGCCAACTGTTCCTCTCTCGCAGGTATCTTCGAATCCTCGCCTTTAACGGCGGGCATCTTCCTTAAAAAATCGTCTCCTAATTGAATATTGTACCGGCCATGGTTTTCTTTCCATGATGTGCCATAAAAATGAATCCATGGAGAAATATTATTTTCAAAGTATTCGAAAATTCCTTGACCTGCATGTCCGCCGATATTAACACATCTGAGTGGGCTTGAAAGAACGAAACAAGACGGAGAAATATTTTTACAGAAAATATTAAACTTTGACATTCACTATTTGAGACAACAAATAACATTTAATATTAATAACAATAATAACAATGAATTGTTAATACAAACACCGTATAAATGCAAGAACTGTTACTGCAGGTGGTTTTTCTCTGTCCTTTGTTTCCTATGGATCTCCCCCCCCCCCTAATTCAATGGAAGTACCAGACTTGATCCAATATTTGTTCTCATTTTTTGTTGTATCTTGAACATGTATATCAGGTTACATGTTCCATGGACTTTACCCAAACACAATCAAACATATAACTATCTGACCTATTTATCTTGCTTAAATATTGATTGCACACGTCTTTGATAGATCGAGGTTTCATAAATCATTCTTAATAATGTTTATTTTTAAATCAACTAAATAATTAGTAACGTTGATGCCTTCCGTGTTGATGAAACTAATTTACCAGCATGTCTGTGACCCCCTAATTAGTGCATTGAACTCAGCGTTAAAAATGCAACTTAATGTATACATTCTTATTTAAAACTTTAAAATTTCAGTGCAGGCTTTAAGGTTAAAAGTTATCGACCTCTTTACGACTATTGTGCAATCTCTAGTGCTCTTCATTAAGCTTAGGACTTTTTAGTTTTACCAGATCCCAACGCTTTGTTAAGGGCACTCGTGTGTTCCTTCAAACCTTAATTTTTCTTCTCCCAGGAAAAGAAATCTCAGCCAGCACCAAGTTAGGGCATGATCGGCTATTTCTTCTTCTTCCTGGCTATACGCACAGTTTCTACTGCTCCGGGTCTATACTTCAGACTTCGGAGTCTACTGAGTCCAATCAGCAGTCCTTTCATTCTAGTCCTGGCACATCCTAAGTTTAGTAGATCTGGTGATAGTTTCTGTACTCCTTGAATGAACTTTTTCGAATGCCTCTGTCTTGGAATACAATCCCATTGAACCGAGGACTTCATCACGTATACACAAAATGACTCCACTACTGCTCAACGCTCTTGTTAAGCTAGGATTTTTATCAGATCCCAAAGCTTTGTTAAAGGCCTTCAAGCCCTAGCTTTTCCACACCGAGGAATGCCTGCACCTTCGCACCAACAGATTCCATTCCGCTATTTCTTCTTCTTCCTGTCAATATATGCATAGGGTTGTTTCTCTCTTCCGGTCTATATATACGTCCTAGATTTAGTAGTTCTGCTATTAGTTTCTGCAATCCTTCATGAATATTTCCGATGGTCTGTCTTGAAATACAATAAAATTGCCACTATTTTTAACACATTTTCTCCATTTTGTTTTCAATTGGGTATGCCGCCAAAGGGTTCAGGACCGATAGGTGTCCTGATTGAACACGCTCCTTGGTCAATTTATAAGCCTCCTCGTTGCCCCTTTGCCTTCAGGGTAATATTATTGTTTTTCCTAATGTCTGGCAGGGCCTTGATGCAATTCCAAATATCTGGACTTAACTACTGATGAGGTAGTTGCTTTTAGTGCAGCTTGGCCTTCGGCGAGAGGTCAAACTTTTACATCTAATTCTCAAGTTCATAGTAGTGTACGGCAAGGTTGCAGACGAAACCCCGTATTGTTTTCTCTATTCATAAATGACCTTGTTAATATGTAGGAAAGAGGTAAATCGAGAGTGGAAAAAATACAACGCAGATGATTTAGTCGTGCTTGCTGAAACAGTTAACTTCAAGAGAACATTGACACCCTGGAAAACAACTTTAAAACATGGTGGGATTGTGGTTTTTTGAAAACGTGACAGGTTGAAATGTAACGACAAATGAAACTTTGATGAGATACCAAATGATATTGTTAGTAAATACTGTCATCTTCAAAGTAAAAAATGTTAATGGCAAAGCAAAGCTGAAATCCCATTTCTTACTGATTGCTTTGTTGTTTCCGGTGATCAGCGTGGCAAAGTCATCGACGAAGGCATAAGGCGACCCTCCTGTAGCCTCCAGTTCTGACAGGAGGTCCTCCAAAAGTACTGTCCACAGGTACAGCCTTTTCAATATTCTTCTCAGTTCGCTATCACTGCAATTCCGCAAAATCCTACGTTGGTCTTCTTGTTCTTGTTTATTTATTTTTTTTAACGAGGGTTCGCAACAGCAGAGGTCATATAAACCCTCAGGGTGCCGGTGTTTTTGAAAAAAAGCCCATTTGCATGGCCCATGCAGGGCCGCTGGATTCGAACCCGGGACCTTTACCTTACAGTGATGAGCGCCGGGTCAACGCCTAAACCGTTGCGGCCACCCACGCCCCCTTCCTCTTCTTGTTCTTATTTTTATTATTATTTAAAATTCCCATTTGTCCTAATAATTTTGGTCAAGACCATCAAAAAATAAAAGACTTTTAAATATATCTTAATATCATTCTTCCACGTTTAGCTTTAAGCTCCTTGTCACTTAGGGTAAGTTCTTTGAAAACAGACGAAAGCAATTTCTGAAAGCCATCATTGGTGGTTTTAAACTGAACGTGATTTTGACTTAAGATCCCTTTTTGGTATTTTACAATTGACTTTAATTGGACTAGTGAAGGAATATTTTTCCCAATTGGTATAATATACACCATTTGTCTTATCTACCATTATCCTAGTTAGGGAAAGGCCACAGAATCAATCTTTTCCCTCTAGGCTCAATATCCTTTAAATTATTTCTTCGGTTAATGCGCCAATCCTTTTTGGGGCACGTTTTGCAATGTTGATTCATTCATTTATATGTAAATTCAAAGTGTACGCGAAGATAGAACTCAGTTTTTTTATTTTAAATGAGATATTTGTAGGCATACGTAAAATAACTTTACAAACTGTTTACTTTTCCTTGGTTAGAGCTAAACTTGTAAAATTACATGGTATATAGTATGATCACTTGGCCACGGGTGTCGTCTCTCTGAAAGTGATGTAATAAAAATACATTAAAATTGGAAATTATTCCTCCTGCAGCAAATAAATCAATTTTTTCGTCTGCGAAAGATGAAGGAAATATGACGAGACCAACGAGCTTAATCGAGTACGAGCTTTACAAATCTTAACCAAATACTAAACTATTTGTTTTTTAATAATTTTTCGTAATAGGTTGATATTAATAGTCTAAAGAAAAAACGTTGGAAAAATTCCTTCTGGGTTTTCCGTGAATTTGCTTAAAGGAAAACAGCCTAAGCCTAACTTGCCATGATTAAAATTGGTTTAAAGTGTATACAATGCGACGTATTCTTTACCTTTCACAAGCTTCCAGTGAGTTCAGCGATACGCGCAATCCAAACGAGGGACTTTTCATCTACAAAAGGACACCTGGGTGAAAAAGAGTATATACAGGAGACCCAGGTGCCTAAGGTCAACTTCCTCAATAGAAAACAATACCGTTCAACACAACTGACTATTCTCCACGTCTTTTGGAAAATTTGACGGGATTGTAAGATCGTTTCGGAATGGCGTCCAGTCGTTTCTGGTCATTGTACTGACAATTACACTCTTGACATGACGTTTTAACCCGGCAATAACCGACTGAGGTGAACAAAAAGCTAAAGCTTTACTTACTATGGTGATTCTAAACTACTATTTCCAACCCTAGAGACCAGCAAATTTCAGAAAACGTACTCCTTTTAACTATTCAGAAATCGTGAGATGTGGTCTGGTGTGATGTAGGTTTCAGACCTGTAAATCCCAGGCCCTGAAGATGAACTCAATAAAGATCGAAACGTTGGCACGATAAAGAAAATGTTTTTCTGAAACCTACATCACACCAGACCGCATCTCACGATTTCTNTTTTTTTTTTTTTTTTTTTTAAATTTTCCACCTTACCAATCCATCAGCCAAGGTTTTTTCCTTTCCCCTATCAATTTCTTCATCATTGAAAAAAGTAATTAAAAAAGAAATTACACCACTAAAACGAATATTAAAAGGAGTACGTTTTCTGAAATTTGCTGGTCTCTATGTTTGGAAATAGTAGTTTAGAATCACCATAGTAAGTTTTTCTACTTTGAAAAAAAAATTTTTTTTCGAAGTTCTCGCTACTAAAACACTTATTTCGCGAACGTTTACAAGTTTAGTATTGGATACAACTTACTGAAATTTAACGTTTTTTTCAATGGTCTCAAAGGATTTGTCCAAAACCTTTTAGTTTTGGAGTTATCATTGTTTATATGAACCTGGGTCGTGAAATCTTAAAAAATCAGAAAAGGTGGATTAACTCCGAAACTGCTGCGATTCGGACCATAATTAATCAGGACTTTTTGGTTCCATTTTAAATGTAGAATCTATGGGCAAAGTTTGTAACACGAGTAGCCGAACATGCTGTATATAAGAATAGGATAACAAACAAATAAATGTAACTTTTAGAATAATGCATCGCTTATTTTTCTAAATTAAATGTATCATTACAAAAAGCCTGGATTTCTTTTGAAAATTTTATTTGCCAAAAAAATTCAGAACAAAGAAAGTTTATCAAAAGTGTACATTAATTTCATGACAAGCCTCAAAAACTTGTAAAAATGAATGTTGTATAACTAGCTTCTTCTTCATCTAATTCTATTTTTCTTTTATCAATCGTCTTGGTTCTTATGCTAAGTAACTATTATGTATTTTATCGCATTTAGTCTTCTTTCTTTTTAAGGTGTCAGAGTTGTCTTTTTTTTTATTAAATAACTGGTCTTGACACCGAACATCATTTAAAATAAAAATTTATTGAAAATTTGTGTGGGAAGTCAACTGTTGCTCACTGACAAATAGGAAGGTGGTTGCATATAAAACTTTCTTTCATTTCTCCTTGCCTCTAATATGAAATCTTCTTCTAAGAATACAGGCATGGGATCTGGACCTGGAAAAACAAAGGAGGAGAAAAACTTGAGTTAATTTTTATATGACCTTCGTCGATATAATTTTATTCCAATATACAAAAACAGACCTCTTCTAGACTAGGTGTTAGGGATATATTGTTTTATGAATTGCATAATGGATTCAAAAATGGGGTTTTTACCTTCATCTTCAGACTCATTCGCCTTTTCGTCAGTGGTGACTAAGCCATCACAGGGTTCTTTCGTCTCATTCGACTTAATTGGGAGCTGTTCCCCAAATGGGCCTAAATGACTCTCTATATTTTCACCTTTAAATATAAAAACTTGTTGTTTTTTTGTGAATTTAAATATTATTTTCATTAGAAAAAATTATTTACCTTGAACCAACGGTGGATCTAAAAATATTGAACTCAACTGCTCTTTGTCAGGATTTTTTATATCACTCTTCTATAAAAATTAAAAAAAAAAATATATTCAACATCTAGGTTTGAATGAAAAATATTATTACCTTCGATATAAATTTTAATACATTAGTAATACTGTCATTAAAATGCTTCTTATGCGAATCATACATCTGACCAAATTTATCATTAATATCCCATTGATTGCTACGCCCAAATTTAATTTCATCTTCCAAACGAAGTTGTCCAGCTTGTTTTAGGCCATCATAAATCTAAAAGAACCCTCTGTATTACCAAAAAGACAGCGTGAAATTATATTTTAAATCCCCAGAGGTTTTGTCAGTTAAGTAATTTAATTCTGCCCTGTAGTCTTTTTTTATTCATTTTTCGGTAACATCACCAGATCAATTAATTAACCTTATTTATATTGGTTACACTAATTAAGATAATTCAATTAAAAACTCCTCGAATGATGTACATCACTGAAGGTTTGGTTTGTAAATAGAAACACTCACAATTTGTCTGAAATTGAAATTAATACAATGTTCGTCATTCCTTCAGGCGACTCACCAGCACGTATCATTTATGAGCCTAGGAATAACGTTATTTTTTTTCATAATTAAATTTTTATTTAACAATTATTTTTAAAAATTTTTTGTTAGCTTGGCACTAACTTGAAACTAAAAAAAATATCTTGTCCTTTAATACATCTTTTTTTTCAACTGAAAATATTATAAAAAGAAATGAAACACAATCTCCACTATATTCACAAACCAAATCTTCCTTAGGAGGGAAGGGGATTAAATAATAAATTTCTTGACTGATTAATTAATCTGGTGATGCGCCTAAATAAAAAGGAATGACGAATGTTTGTTTAAAACACTTTTTGGAATGATTCAAAGGCCTTATTAAAACAATGCCCTTGATAAAAATGAAATGAATTAACTTTTTTAATGTAAACAATTTTTAAATAACGGTAATTAATTGACAAACTTCTGGAGATGTTAATTGGTTACCTTTGAAATTTTAATAATTTTAAAAAACCCTGTTCTTATAGACCATCTCATTTTGAATTTCAAACCCGAGTTTCAATCCATCGACAAGCATAAGCTGTTGAGAGCAAGCCTGTTGGGAGAAAACAAGTTACAATAACAAAATTCACAATATAAACTTGCTTTGGATTGTAACAATTATGGGTTCCTTATGAAAGACTGCTTAACAATATCTATACAATAAATATACCAATAATAAATTTCCTCTTTACAATTGTTTAAAATTGATTTTAAAAGACAGATAAGTGTTCCTCTGTAGATTATTATCATCCTGGTCTCTTATCGGTTTTTGTCTATCAGTTGATTTGTGTCTTATTTTGAATGTTTTATATGTTTGTGCATCTAATTGAGAATATACAGACCAGGATGACGATTAGGACAAGGTATGTTACAATAGTTTTAATATTTCATTATTCCTTACAACAAATTTGAAATTGAGTGCATTACTGGATAATTTTTAACAATTTGGTTAAACTATCAATCATAATTTCTAAGGCAATATCGTTACTTCTGTTATTTTAATAATTTCACATTTCATTTCATTCACACCTCACCCAGACCAAAGCACTCCGAGAAAAAATAAATACACAAAAAATAAACAGGACCTAGACTGCCCTTTACCACATCTCCTCTCCCTGAATCCTGCCTGCACTCGAGAGATCAACTTTCTCATCGGTCACCTCCATTAAAAAATAAAAATAAATAAATAACATCCCTTAGTTTTGACCTTATCACCACAAACATTGAAATCTTCCTAAAAAAGCTATAATTTTCCTTACCACATTTACAACTCTGTCCTTAGAACCACCTACTTCCCAATCCAAGGAAATTATCATTAAAACCATTCCCAAACCTCAAAAACCTTTTCCTGTCTCATATATCCCTGTCAGTTTGTTGTAATTACTTTACAAAATCCTTGAAAAACCTGAAAAAAATCTCTCTACCATTAAACAGTGCTACATGAATGTAGACTGCATCTACCGTGAGTGGAAGCTGCTCAGGTCCTTTCCCAGACATGAACCAAGCCTTCGCCCTAGTGTAGCAATCAGGCTTGCTCTGGAAACTCAAAGGTTTCACTTTATTATCTCATCCTAAAATCCTATCAATAGATACTTTTTCAGGTGTGATCAGAACATCCCATATCAACTGTGCTGAAACGAGTGTTTCACAAGGCAGCATCCTTGGTTCCACTCTTTATTCGGTATATACTGCAGATATTTAATCTTCTCACATATCTTTCAGCAAACCCAGATCCAGTAATGTACTTCAGGAACCTTCAGAACCATCTTTTTTGGAACAACAGATTAACCTCAACAGACTATTTGACAACAGATTAACCTCAACAGACTATTTGACAACAGATTAACCTCAAAAGACTATTTGACAACAGATTAACCTCAACAGACTATTTGACAACAGATTAACCTCGACTAGAAAATAAAACCATCTATACATCATTATTTAAAAAAAAAAAAAAAAAACTGGACATATGCAATCAAATCGAGGGACTTAACTAAGCATTCCAACCTCAAAGAATCTGGTTGATTCAGTACAAAATCATTCTAACCACTGTCCAAGCTCCCTACTTTGTATCCATCCATATTGTCCACAAAAAACTTAAAATCTTAGACCCTCATCTCAACCCATTACTGTCCCATACTTTTCATCCTCCCAAATTCTTTCTGACAAAACTCTAAGGAGCTTAAAGCACCAATGGTTTCATGATTTCCTCCCGAGTGAGGAAAGTTGGAGTGTAATTACTGAATTACCACCATTTTTGAGTATACTGTAAAAAAGCTTATAATTAATAATACTATTACAATTAGAAAAAACTTTTTTTAATCGAATGTATGCTTTGGTCTTCTCTCTAAAGAATATATTTTTCTAAACTCTTACCTACATTGGCCCATTTTTTAAAAATAGAAAAAATACCTTCTCCAGCAATCCATGACTGTGAATCAAGAATTCCCTCTTTGCTATTGATGACACTCTTTCCTTTTCTTCTGATTCACTGATCGCCACTGGTTCAAAAGTAAATGGATTCTGCCTTACTGGTGGCTTCTGAAATATATTTTATAATTTATTAGTGATTGTTTTGTTTTTAAAGGATTTTGTTACATTTTACCTTTGGTGGTGGTTTTTCTTCTTTTTGATTCATTTGTTTTTGAGTTTTCATTACTGCCACACTCCTATTGAGAGCTGCTAGCTTCTCCTGACATGCAAGATAATTGTTTCCAAGACTACCCGTACAAATTTCTTAAAAATAATCATTTATAAAAAAATTAACCTGCAGTTCTTCTCTGTGTTGCTTTCCTGCAACTTCTCTGGCCCTCGAAGCAAATGTTTCTGTAAACAAAGAGCTTTTCCCCGCATTTAAATACAAATCGTATTTTTCCATTCCTGGGCAAGGGTAGACTTTACGAAAATTTCCTAAATGTGTATTCTCCCAGTGAATTTTCCCCTTCAACAATTGTTCAGCATATTCCCTTCTAGAAACCGAAAATGATTTGTTTTATATTTACTATAAAATGTTTACATCTTTTGTTATCGCGTACTCTTTTGTTGAGGGTTTGTTGCTTGTTAGCCTTTCTCTTATACGCTTTTTCTCCTCGTTGATCATTTTTAATTTATCATTCTGTGCTAAATTCAAAAGGCAAAACGTATCCATGAGAAGTGCTTCTTTAATTTCATGGTCGATCGGGGTGTCAGTGTGAAAACTAGGTGAATGGTTTACCTACGAAAATAACAAATATTGACATCAGATTGAAGTAAAACATTTTTTAACATTATGTACTTCTAAAATGTATGGTTTCAGCTTGAAATCCAGCATAAAATCAAATCCTAGAAGTTCAAAACAAGCATGCGAATCGACATGCCCTGGGAAACAGGTCTGATAGCAATGCTTCAATGTAGGCAGAGCGACGAGGATCGTTTTAATTATCACATCATCTATACCTCCCCAAATTTTATCGACATCGTATGCATTTTTGATAAACCATTGATTTATCGTTGAGAACCTCCTAAAATAAAAAATGGTAAGTTCAGTTTGAAGGTATTTTATAAAAAGTGGCCTCTGTACCTTTTGCTTCCTTCGATATCATCAACAACATATGTACGACTATGCTTATTGACAGAATAATTAGTAAGGTGCATGTACATATTTGCCACATTGGTTTGATTTGGTTCTCTATATTTTTTAGTAGCAAATCTATTTAAAAAATAATAATAGTAATAAATTAAAAAAGGAAATATATGTATATGTGTATATGTTTACCTTGCAAGGCCTTCGTTGTAAACAAAAATACGAAGGGGATCACAAGAAGTGATTAGTGTGTAAACCCTTAAATCAAACTTGTATCCGTCGATCAGAAAAGGCTGAAATGCAATGTTATGTTAATGTTATTTCGCCCAATTTTTACACGTTTTTATTAGACATACTCGAGTGACATAAAGCTGACATATCATTCTTTCGAACGACTTCAGATCCTTTAGATTTTTTGTTATGTATATCCCTCTTCCTTGGCAGCCCAAGTCTGGTTTCAGGATATACGTCTTTTGTCGATGTGTTTTAGAATATTCAATGATTTCCAGAATACTTTGAAGAAAAAAATGAAAAAATATATTTAGTCACTCATTCATAATTATACGGGGTGTCCCAGTTCCTTCTGATGAAACGCAGGGAATCTATTTTACTCTTTGTTTGGAGCAAAAAATGCCCAGGAGAAAATTTTGAGAAAGTTCTCTATTTTGAAGATATTTGTCAATTTAGGTTTTTTCAACTTTTCACTACCTTACCACATAAAAACGCTTACAACTTCCAAAATGTTGAACCTACAACAAATTCAATTACACCATTTGAAAGAACGCTAAATTTGCTGTAAAATACTTCTATTTGCAATAATCTGAATGACATAAAATGTTAGCCAATATCAGTTGGAACATGTCAAAATTACAAAATTTTGGTCATGATTGCATGTTCTACTGAGGTTACAAAAAAACTTGTCAAATTTCACAAAAACTTCATCTAATATGCTTTACATTGATACATCCAGGTTTTTAAATAACGTTCTAATAGAGTTAAAAAATAATTGAATGTTCAAAAACGTGAGCTAAGGTAAATTTGAAGGGGGGGTTAGAAATTATATATATGAATATTAGATGAAGTTTTTGTGAAATTTGACAAGTTGTAGGTATTTTTTTTGTAACCTCAGTAGAACCAAGTGCAATCATGACCAAAATTTTAAATTTTATAATTTTGACATGTTCCAACTGATATTGGCTAACATTTTATATCATTCAGATTATTGCAAATAGAAGTATCTTACAGCAAATTTAACGTTCTTTCAAATGGTGTAATTGGATTTGTTATAGTCTCAACATTTTGGAAGTTGTAAGCGTTTGTATGTGGTAAGGTAGTGAAAAGTTGAAAAAACCTAAATTGACAAATATCTTCAAAATGGAGAACTTTCTGAAAATTTTCTCCTGGGCATTTTTTGCTCCAAACGAAGAGTAGAATCGATTCCCTGAGTTTTGTCAGAAGGAACTGGGACACCCTGTATATTTACTAAAAATTAAATTAAGTTGATATTAAAACAAAACAAATGACAGAAAAAATAAATATTGAATCATCAAGGGTATAGGGTGGTAGGTATGCTCGATGTTTCTCTCCTAATTGAAGGGTGCAATTCTTTGGCTCCATAGAGAGAGGGCGCCCAATTTGTGAATTGTGCTTGAGCCTGGGAACGAGTATTTGCATCCCCTGTTCCAATTCTAGGAGGAAATGTGGTTGCTCTATTGTACATATCCCTAGCTTGTGTTGAGAGTAAATGAATTTATTAGTGTGAATGTCCTTATTAGCGTGAATGTGTGATGTGAGAGGGTCAATGGGAAAATATTGAGTACTCCATCAACCCTCCATTATGTTAGTTGTATAATATTTGTAAAGGAGGAATGTCGAGTACTCCATCACCTTAATTGAATGAATGATACGTAGGGTGAATTTATTTCAAGAATGAACATATGAATGGGTTTGGGACTGCATGCATTGAGTGCTGAATTGACCTAGCTGTTGAAAGCAATCCCCCTCAGAGCCCAATTCAGTGGCTGGACGGATAAGATTGAGGTCTGCACGCAGACTGCCAACACCTGGTTGGATGGATTCTTGACTTTGCTCTGACAGTTTACTGTAAATAGTGAAAGCTGGAATTGCCGGTGGACTAAGAGAAGAGAATAGTCTATCTTCATACAAGTGCAGATTTGAGCCTATATAAATCCAAGTGCGAATCTTTACCCCCAGCAATATTTACTATTATGTTGGATTATTATTTATTTATATTAATTTTAAAAAAGATTTGCAAGTACAAAGTAGAAAACTTGTTTAGAAACTATTTTCTAGTTCTAGTTAAACTAGACTTAAAAATTCAGGCTGTGAAAAATTTTTGGCTACAGTAAATGGAGTAGCAGTTTTCTTAGTTGTTCAAAAGTTATTCAGAAATCTTGAGATGCGGTCTGGTGTGATGTAGGTTTCAGAAAAACATTTTCTTTGTCGTGCCAACGTTTCGATCTTTATTGAGATCATCTTCAGGGCCTTGTGTTGTCTACATTTCAACAAAAATGGTATCTGGTATCTTTTAACATTTTCTTATTTCTTAAACATTTTCGTTGACATGCTAAATGTTATTACTTTTTACGGCCAAATATCGACCAGTTTAAATGGGAAATCCTCAAATAAAATTTTAAAAAAATTAATGTTAAAATGCAAAAACAATAGGCAGTCTGCAGGGAGAGTCGTTTAGTTTAGAGTTGGTTTAATTTTAGTTTTAACTTGACAGATCAGCACCAATCCAGTATGTCAGGAGGTGATTTTTCCTTCATAATGACCACTATCTTTCGCCTCTTGAGACTGGGCCAACGATCAGATCCAGTAAACCATAAAAAGTATAGCAAAAATTATTAAGCATGACACACTTATGAAAACATTTTGAGAATTTTTTTCTTTATTGTATCAATAATATTTTTGGCCTGGCCTACAAACTGTGCTATAAAATTCATTATTTATGACATGCTTTTCATACCAATCTCCTAATTTTGCACACAAAAATTCAAATTCTACATAAATTTTGATGCTAAGTCCTTGGTTATTTTAGATTTATCTTTACTGATTTTCTATATATAATGGCCAATAAAGTAATGAAACATTTTATTATCTGGAAAACTGATTCATAGTACAAAAATGTAATGTTTTCTTTGTTACATTCTATTAGGTTGGTAGAGCATAAGGTGAGTATAAGTGGATTTTAACCGTCTTTTGTTATTTCACATTTATTTTTCCCAAACAGGATTAGTTAAGGTGTTTGTAATCATCAGTTTCTTTCTGGATATCCTATTTTTACAAGAGTTTTCCTAATTTAAGATAGAGAAACGAATAGCACATTTTCGTCATTTAATGGCTTTTGGTATTTCCGCAAAAGAAAAACTGCAACCCTGCTAGGAAAATTTGTAATATGATTGGTGATGACGCTTTAGGAAAAGCGTTGTCCATAACTGCTCAGTTCAGAAGCGGAAATTTTGATTTGGAAGACAGCTCTGGTCGTCCTCGATGACCAAATCTTTTCTCAAAATTAACCCTCTCAGCAACGCGACACATTGTAGAAACACCTAAAATATCATATACAAGCATCCTTCATATGCGATTTCCTCTTAAAACCATCTTTAGAAAGATCGATAACCGGGGGATGAATTTATGCCCTGTCGGTAAACCTAGGTCAATATGCTACAGTTTTCCAGTCTGAAATCAGAGAGATTGAGCAATGTGCCAGAGAAATAAAAAGGCCATTTTCACTGACAGTCAGGCAGCTCTCAGGGCCTTAGCCTCATGCGAGGCGAAGCCAAATTGTGTTAGGAAATGCATGGAGGCCCTGACAGATGTCAGCGACACTATGACCTGACTCTGGCATGGGTGATGGGGTCCCTAGGCTCTCGGGGCATAGAGGCAATGGAATGGTTGCCATGTTGTCCAAAAAGGGGGCCAATATAGTACTCTGTGAGTCCTGAACCCTACTGTGGCTTAGCATCTTGGTACAAAAGACGTACATCTTAAAATGGATCCTTAAGGAGCCCAAAACCTTGTGGAAAAATACCACAGGTATGAGGCTCATGAAGAGATTTGTAGAAAGCTCTTCCGCAAAACTTACAAAATAATACAAAAGAAAGGCAACTGCAACCGAACCAGGATTCTGGTTGGACTCCTGACAGGACACTGCCACGTGCACTGGATAAAGTACAAACAGAAGAAACACTGTGCATATACTGCCACAAAAAGAAAGAGGCCGCAGAACACATTTTATTTTTTTGTGAAGGTCTATGCAGGTGCAGGTTCTTGTAACTAAGACAGGAAAAGCCACAAGCAAGATCCGATACTAATGAGCCGCTGGTAAGCTATGGAGGTTTATTAACCTGAAGCTGGCCAGTGAGTTGTAAAAAACAGGGTAGCACAATAGATGTTGTCGTGGTGGATAAGGCCTCTTTTATCCCTATTTTATCTTATTATAATTTAATGCACTAATAGCTGCCTTGCTGTCCGATATGATAGCTATGTCCTGCTGAAAGTTACTGGTAAAAAATCTTTAAATTTGGACGTATTTCTTAAGTAACTAGAGTTATTGAATAGCTTACGAACAACTAAATTTTTAAACATACTCGGTTGGAAGGCACCACGTTTTTGGGAAAAAGTTATAATCATCCGGGAACATTTTGAGCATACGGTTGAGATTCCTAGCCAATAAATCTTTCCTGCATATCTCCAACATCCCGGGGAAATGGTTGATGCGCTGCAACAAAGCCGTTCCAGTTTAATAATTATTGGCAAAACATGACTGAGATTGACGTACCTGAAACCGCTTCATATCTTTACACCTTTCGACAGAAATTGACAAATCCGTCCAGTACACATTCCAGCCGTCGCTGCCTTCTTTTAATCCGAGCTTACGAGCAGTCTGCCGGATGATCTCGTAACGGCAATTCGTCGTGCAAATAGTACTCACCCTGGAATTAACACAAGAAAATTTTGCAAAGATTTTGTATTCCACATGCTTACAGCTTGCAAAAAAAAGTATAATATTGAGAAAAATGAATATGATTTATATTACCTACTCTTTTTTACTCTTTTCTTTTTTGTATTGAGCGGTGGGTTCAATTGAAGGTCCATAGTTGATGTAGACCGATCTGTAAAGCACAAAATGAGCTTAGTTCTTCAAAAATGAAATCCCACAAAATGAAATTTTACCCATTGGAGATAATTCTCCTTGACAATCCGCACAGTAGTCATGTGCGTTATAAAGCTTCCCTGAAGTATTGTCTTTCTTCGTCTGTTGTTTGTTTGAATCTTTTGTGACAATTAAAGCCATTTTGAACAATCAAGATTCATTGAAACCTGAAAGCCAAAAGGAAAATCTCATTTGTGAAAAATTTCAATGATAAAAGTACTAATTTCTTCAATTAAATTGCAAACCAGCACAAAAGCAAATAAAAATTGTCCATTTACTTTTGATTTTTTCTGTCATTTTGCACCAATTGGAAATACTCACGTTTTACACCCTGACACCCAAATACTCCGATGGCTAGCTGTTACAGAGGCGGATGGCGACCTGAAATACCAAATTATTTAAATATAACGATTCTCCGAGTATAAAACTATAATGTTCAAAATCAAGTTTATAATTTAGGAGGGAAATGAGCGATGAAAAAACAGTGAGTTTTACCAACTTCGTTGGCTTGAAAACTAACTTAATACGAATTAATAACGTCATGACTTGTTATTACTTACTCATAATAATAACAAAGTGAAACAAAGCGAAATAACATTCCTCTAATTTGGCTAATTCAGTCCAATACTCCAGCGGAGTTCTCAAGAAGGAGATGAATTACTAGGACGATAAAGTTTACACCAGAATTTGATTTCATTATAGTACCATGTGGTTTCAGTATTTTTTCTTTTTCTTAACACAGTCAGGTGAAGCCCTTTTTCGTTATTCTCGTATGATTTTCCTGTCTCTGGGAAAAACAAAAAAACAAAAGTGTGAGAAAATGTCTGTTAAAATTGGCAGAAATGTTTTGGAATACATTCGAGCGGGAGAGGTAAACAGAATGGCGATGTGCTGAAGAAAAGCCGACAAAAAAATAGTCTCAGGATTATTACTTATTATTATTATTGATAAATAAAAGATCTGTTAATCTAAGATAACATATGGTTCTGGCTTGCGTACTATGAATAATCAGTCTAAAATACTGTTTCCCGTGTAATTAAGAGTTTTATCAAAGCCAGCCGAAGCTAAAATGTGCAAAAATTCAAGCTGTTTTTACAATCTGAATTTTTTATAATTTGAATGCCAGAGTTGATGTTGAGTGTTGGCCTGTGAGTCGGTGAACTCATGCTGAACTGGTATTGGGCCGTGTTCACTCGCGAGTCTGTTGAACTATTCAAATGCGTTTCGCCATAGCGCTATGCATTATTGTTGATTAAATTATCTAATATTAGATTTTGTGTAATGTAATTGCATCTATAAACTTGTATTTATTACAATGAAAATCCACAAAGATATGGATTTTTTAACGTTAAAACGGTGACCGAGGACACCTACGGTCGACAGCACCGGTCCATGTGGTGCACCCCAACAAATTGATGCAAGAAATTACGCAGAGGCATCTAAGATCACAAAGACGACTGAGGAACACCAATCTTGTACCATCCTAAACTTTCTATTACTTTTAACAAAAACGGTGACCGAGGACATCTACGGTCGACAGCACCGGTCCATGTGGTGCACCCCAACAAATTGATGCAAGAAATTACCCAGAGGCATCTAAGATCACAAAGACGACTGAGGAACACCGACCTTGTACCATCCTAAACTTTCTATTACTTAAAAAAAAAAACGGTGACCGAGGACATCTACACTATCAGTCAGATCAGAATTGACCAGAACACACGGAGTTACACGGCTCGCATTTGCTCGAGTACACGGTCATTGGTCTTTGGACGATTGGTCTGCTGTACTTTTTATAGATGAGTGTAGATTTGCTGTAGGATCTCCAGATGGGCTTGAAAAAGTGTGAAGGCGAAATGAAAGGTTCGAAGCCAGAGTCAATCTTTTCGTCGAAGTTCAATGATGGTGTGGGAGGGATTTCATTGGAGAATCGCACAGAGTTGGTTGTTGTTCGCGGAGCGTTTTTGACTGCTACTCGCTAGTGGATCAAAGTTTGGAACATCATGCGTTGCCTTTCCTCGATGAAATCAGCCACAACCCTATTCTAATGGACGATAATGCCCGTCCACATGTCGCTTGCATAGTACAAACAGCATAAAATCGGGGTCTTAGCCTCGCCAGCCTGTACTCCAGACTTGAACCCCACCGAACATTTATGGGATAACCTCAAAAGACGAATAAGATCACTTCCTGATTCACTCCACGATCTTGAAAGGACTCTTCGTGAAGAATAGGCTAACCTCCATCAAAGAGACATTTCCAGACAGGTAGAAAGTATGCCGAAGCGTCTTCGAGATGTAATTAAGGCAATAGGAGGAAATACGCGATATTGAAAAAATTAAAAGTCTAAAACAAATTTTATCTGTTCGTCTTTTTTATTTTATTTTTTTTAATTTTCATTTTCCTTAGCAATTTATATTTTTTAACCTTTTTAGACAAAGACTCAATTATTAAATGTTAAAAAACGAGAAACTTTGATTAATGTATAAAAATACATACAAATCAAGTTATATTACGTAGGTAGAACCCCTGCAGATCGTTAATCTACAAACATTTTTATATTTGGGCGCCAGATTATCAAGGTTTTATACGCTACTTCACTAAACGGCTAAAAGCTTATAAATCAGATTAAAAGATATTATTTTAATTTATTTTAAATAGTAATTTTTACTCTCACATTTCACTTTTTACGAGTTTTGTTTTTGTGTTCTTCTCTTTTAGTCATGCCCGTACCAGTATAGCGCAGCACAGGTGATACGATATCAAAGGCGGGAAAGAGGGAAAATACTGTGTCGTTCTGCATGTACCTGCATTAAACAAAGTACCTACAGAAATTCCCTAGTATTAATTTGTTGAGCAAGTTTGTCGACAGAAATGCCCAATTTACGATACGCACATAGCGAAGGACACACGGACCTGTGCTACACAAGTGATTTTAAGTATGAAAATAATACGATTTATATTTTATTTCTTGTCTGGTATGAAACGAAGAGTATTATGTGCATGTAAATAACATCTAAATTTTAAAAATAAGTTTATTTTATTAGAAAAAACGACTTAAATTTATAAATCAAAACTCGCATTGCAGTCCAAAATTTGTTAATTTTTATTCCAATTGTTCTTTTTTTTATGACTATATTACATATCCGATACTTTAAATATAATTTATTTACATCCATTTAGTTTGTAGAAAGTTAAGATGAAAAATGTGCAATTTGTGGCTGAAAGTACAATCTTTAAAATAGTCAAATACCCATGTGTAGATGTTTTCTCAAATGCCAGTGGCCAGTATTAATGCCTGATTTACACGTTGCCATCTATTGGTATGCCAATTGAGGTACTGGGCTGCTGGATTCGAACCCGAGACCTTTACCTTAGAGTGATGAGAACCGTGTCATCAGTATCTATAATCACAGAATTGGGAATTCAACCCCTGAATTCTGTATTGTCTGTTTCATTTTGATGGATCTGAAGCTTAAAGTAGATTTTAAACATTACTAGTGCAGTGTGCCAAAGGAAGTTAGATTTTCAATCCATAGATTCTTATAACATAAGTTTTACTTTTTTTATATTATTTATAAAATTTTAATTAATTTAGGTACATAATAACGTGTGGAAGTGAGGGTGATGTTAGGGTATGGAATGGTGTTGATGATGTTGACCAAAAAGATATCTGCGCTGGAGAAAGGGCTTGGTCTCTTGCACAGAAGGTAAAGTTATGATTTTTTTCTAGAATTTCTAGTAACTTTGTGTTCATTTAGGGAAAGAATCTTTATGTGGGCACCGAGATTAATGTTGTTCAATCATACACTTTCCCCGGTCTTGAAACTGATGGGATCATTACTAGATTCACAGCTCCTGTTACACAAATCGACGTTTCATGCGATGGCCAGAAACTTGTAGCTGGTTCATGGTGGGTAAATGTGAAATATTCATTTTCAATTTGTTAACTGCTTGTTTTTATTAGCGATATGATGGTGCATGTCGTTGATTTGAGCACACTCGAATGTGTCAGGCTAATTGGACACAAAGCTCCAGTTTTGAGTGTATGTTTTGACCCGAAGATGGAATATGTCGTAAGTGACAAAAATGAATATTTGCGTGCTTTGTCCTTCTTTTCAATGTTTTAGTTTTTAGGTTTCTTCGGGGTGTGATGGTTTTGTTAAAATCTGGTCCTTGGCAATAAACGATGTCATCCATCAATGGGATTGTTTGAACAAAACTAATTCTTTTGAAGCCTCGAAAACGCTTTGCAGGATGCATTTTCAGAAAGGAGGAACCCTACTTGCTGTGCCTTTGCACAAATCAGTCGTATTGTATGAACGAGGCTCTTGGAACCAAGTCCAGACTTTCGGCGATGAATTATTTGATGTAAATTTTTGGATTTGTTTATTGTTACAGATTTTTTTTTAATGTCAATTTGTTTCTCTCAGGGTTACAGCATTGTAAAATTCTCACCATGTGGAACAAAACTGGCGGCTGGAACCTTCCAAGGGAGTTTACTTGTGTGGGAAGTTACCAGCGAGAAATTGTTGAAGAAAGAAAGAGATGAAAATGTACAAGCAATTACTGGGATCGCCTGGCGTAAAGATTCATCGGGGGTTGTCTTCTGCAATTCTTCCGGGCAGCTTGGTGATCTTGAAATTCCTCAAAGCACCACAATGGATGAGGTAAAAATGTCATTTAAAAAAATTTAATAAAAATTATCATGAAAAATTTAGGATGATTATGATACGAGAGCTCCAGAAGATATTCCAATCTCTGAGCCGATTTTTGACGATGATGAGGATGATGATGAAAATGTCATTTCCCTTGAAAAGATCAAAGCTCAATCTGGCTTTTTGGACAATAATGCATCTCCCTCTGGAAAAAATGGTTGGTTCATGGTTTACCTAAGTTTCTTCTGTTTTATTTGTTTATTTATTTTTTTTAAATAATTTTTGTTTAATTTAGATGACAGTGAAGATGAGAAAGAAAGTGTAACATCAGCACCTGCAAAGTATCACTCACCAATTTCTGAACTTCAACAAGCTTTTCAACCAACTTCCACTCCGACTCACTTGCAGCAACGATTTATGGTAATGCTGTACTAACAACTCCAGCCAAATTCTTTTTTTTTTTTTTTTTTTTTTTTTTTTCACAGGTTTGGAATGGAGTTGGAATTATTCGTCAGTTCAATACAGATGAAGTTAATGAAATCGATGTTGAATTTCATGATACATCGAATAATTACAATGTGAGGTTAAACAACCTCCTGAACCACACGATGGCAAGTCTAACGTCAAATTCGATAGTTCTAGCCTGTGCTAGATCTGAGGACGGCCCGAGGTACTTGATATTTTCTTAGCATTGGAAAATTATGTAACTAATTACATTTCCTCCTCCACAAGCAAACTGATGTGTCTAGTATTGAAATCCTGGGATGGCCAAAAAGAATGGGACTGCTCCATGCCGAATTGCGAAGAGATTGTCGGCGTCTCGGCCGGTGAGGACTGGGTTGCAGCAGCAGTTGACAATTCAGCTTTACGACTGTTCTCTTTGGACGGAACACAAATTGATATTTTTTCAATACCGGGTAATTTTGTAACTATGGCTGGACACCTCAACAAGCTTGCAGTTGTATTTCATATTGGCATCGGTAAGTTATAAATTTTTTTTAAAATTTTTTTTTTTTACAAAAATGGCCAGACTAAGTTTACTAAACTTCAGCATTATTATGGCAGAACTTACTGATCTATACGTACAAAACTAATGATGTGGGATCACTGATTTTCATTAACAATTTTTTGATGATATTAGGTCAAATTATTAGGTTCTTGTCAATGTTCTTGCCAAAGAGACCTAGGAGCTTGTTAAAATATTAGTCTTTGTATTAAATTTGAGTAAATATGTACATATAGACAGTGGAAACCTGTTTATCTGGACTCGTTTGTTAAAATATTTTGTATAAATTTTTCATAATTCTCAATGTACGTGTGTATATATATATATATATATATTTTAATAATAATTCAGCTAATCTTTAATTTGTGTTAGAAATTCATAAAAGTCGCCATATCGCCTATCATGAGCGAAGAGGCTGGAGAGGCCAACAGCCAGTTTTTGTTAAAAAAATAAAATAAATAAACCTAACAAATAATAATAATAATAAAAGGTGTATCCTAAGTTTTTCTTTTATTATATAGATTTTTTTACATATCAATTTTAGCAAATGTCTGAACTTAAACAACAGAAGTGTACTTTTTTTTACCAATCGTATCACAAATTTTCGTATTATCCAAACTTTTGATCATCCAGACAAGTCCTGGTCCCTTCAAGTCCGATAAACAGATTTCTACTGTAAAAAGTTACAAAAACCTTTCTAGTAAAATAGGCAAAAAACATCGTTTTTTACTAGAAAAATAATATAATAATAATAATAATAATCTTTCAACCGAGAATCAAATTCCATTTTAAAATTAAGGTTTGTAGATTTGACTTAACTTAAATACAACTTTTTTAAAAACAAAAATTTAAATTTTTGTTTTGGACCAACTGGGGGTAATTTATGGGTTTTTTCTCACTGATGTCTGGTGTTGTTACATTCTTAACTCCTCTTAATTTTATTCAAAATTAACATTATCCTTAACTTGTAAAGTTTAATATCTTTCTGCCTGTGTCAACAGTGTTTAGATTTTATGCCATTATAAGGGAGAAAAATAAGAAGAAAATAAAAAAATCCTCAAACGTTATATTTTATACCTCCAGTTCTAATTTCTTTACGGAGACCCAGTTTATGCCATTTTGGTTATGCCCAAATTAGATATAGGAAATTGGGTTCTAAATTCTTATAAAGTCTACTGTGGATCAGTAGAGTCATTTGAAAGACATAATTAAAAAAAAAATATTAGTAAACTGGGGACATTTATAAAGGTGAACAATTTAAAAAAAAATTTTTCCTTAGTAATTGTTGCTTTGCTTCTTCAGGTCTAAACAGTGATCAGTGTTTATCATATTGTGAGCTGAAGATTAATCAGGCTACTAAACTTTTATCTGCTCAGTCGATTAAACCTCTACCACTTTCAAACGGCACTAAACTTCGTTGGTTAGGCTATACCGACGAAGGTTCGCTCAGCTCTGTCGATTCAAGCGGTGTTTTAAGAATATTGTATGGCTCAATTTGGAGACCTGTCTGCTCTCTAGATGAACAGGTTTGTTTCGATGTATTTATAAAATTATTGTTATTTTTTTTTTTTTTTATTATAGTGCAAATCAAAATTTGATCATTATTTTGTCGTTGGTATCAACGAATCGACACATACAACAAGAGCGATTCTATGCAAGGGAGCTTTTTATCCACAAGTCATACCAAAACCTCTTGTTTCTGAAGTGAAATGGCAGGTGGGATTTTTTTTTTTTTTTTTTTTTTTTTTTTTTTTTTTTTTTTAATCAGGCTGCTTCTAGAGTAGAGGACAGGTCAAAATGTTATTTTGTTACATTCTAGATTCCACTTTGTGAGTTGGATTCTGAAAAGGGCAAACTTGAAGAAGAGTATTTAAGAAACAAAATAACAATTCGAAATATAAACTTAGATAACAACTTCTTCCAAGATACTAAGAAGTCGATTGAAAAGTCGATTTCTATCACGGTCATGAAGCTTTTTGCTGTAAGTTAAAATGATTTGAAAGTCTGTAAAATTATATCTAATGGACTCTTGTTTGAAGCTTGCTTGCCGAAGTGGATTAGAAGCGAGAGCAGTTGCTTTGTGCGAAGCAATGCAGAGTTTAGACATTGTCAAACTAGCCGCAAAATATGCCATGAAAATGGGCAAGCACCAGTTGGCACAGAAAGTAAATGAAGTTGCTGCAAGAATGGCAGACCCGGTGTAAATAAATTTTATTATTTTTTATTTGAATATGAATTTTTATATATATATATATTTTTTTTTTAAGTTTTGAAATTGAACGAGAAGAGGACATCAGAAGCAGTTATGAACCTGCTGACTGTGATCAATCCACAGAAGGTTATTCGCAAGATTTATTTGAAGAAACTGAACCAGGTGTTTTCCCTCTAATTCAACAATTATTTACCCTGAACTAATTTTTATGCTTGCAGTAAAAGAAAATCTCATATTGAAACTAAAACAGAAGAAAAATGATGCAAGCCCAAAGCCATTGAGGCTTCGCATGGCCGGTAACCCGTTTAGAAAAGACAATGGATCTTCATCAAAAAATATCCAGGTAATTTTTGCTTTATTAATCACAATTTCATGTCTGGTTAAATAATGTTTATTTCAGAACAACGGTTACTCCGAGAGTAAAGGAACTTTTTTGGAATGGTACTCTGAAAACCAGGCAAGGCTACAAGAAGAGAACCCGTTTATGAAAGAAGGAGAGCTCGCAGTCACAGGGATGAAGCAGTACAAACTTTTACCGTCGAATTTGAAAGAGCCAATCGTAAATATTGACCGCCTCAAAAGATTAACAGAATTATAACTTTTTTTCACTTGTAGAATTCAGAATCGAGCCAGAGCGAACCAGCTTGCCCCAAGAAAAGAAAAATAACGAACCAGGAAGACGATGGGCCAAGGAAAAAGACAAACTCGCTTTCAAAACTTAAGTCATTTACATTTCAGAAACAATCTCATTGATTATTTAATTTTAAAATTTTATTTCTTGTCGACTGAAAATTTATAAATAATGTGAAAACTTAAACAATTTTCATTCTGTAAATATTTTATCCGTTAATGGTAACATAAATCTAATAAAACATTTGTTCCTAAAAAATTAGTTCAGCTTTTTTTTATAGTCATCTGGACTAAATAAGTTTTAAGTGACATTCTATTTCTAACGTTGTTCTAGTCAATTTATTAAAATGGCAAGAAGATTTTCAGCTTTAGCCCTAACAACGGCAAAATCCCTTCAGGCTGCTCAAGTATTCAAATTGTTATTAAAAAAAAAAAAAATCAAAAATTCTCATTTTTCTTGTTAAAAGGGTTCTGCAAGGCACGTAATTCGTCCATTGGCGACTTCCTCTTCTCCCACAGCAAAAAAAGATATTTTAAAAAAGCAGCAAAGCCACGAGGTATTTATTTTTTAATTCAGTAGGCACATTTATAGACTTTTGTCTTTAAATTGACAAAATGACAAGAAAATCATAAAAAAAAGCATGTAAACATGAGAATTTTATTTAAAAGTATTAGTTTAAAACTGTTGTTCGTGTTATAAACTTTAAAAAATTTAGTCTTACATATTATGAGTTATCCGAGGTCCTACAAAACAGTTCCTCACTGAAGATAGTGTGATATTTTGTTTTATACATCGGACATGGCACATTGACAATTATAAAAAGGAAATACATAAAGAGCAGAACTGCGGAAAAAAATTTCATGAACCATCACTAGATTGGTTGGACTGGTTCTAACTAAATTGCATGCTGATATGGTACATGCAATCTATTCCTAAGTGCAGGAGTTGATAAAGAAGAAAATGAATAATTTCTAACAGGGGGACCGCGGTAGCCGAGTGGTTAGCATGAGAGACTCACGCCACGGTCGTGGGTTCGATTCCCACCGTCGCCTCTGGCTCTTTTTTTCCCAATAACCCCCAATTTGAACAACAAATGTAAGAAATTCATCATGGCTAATATGCAAAGATCATAAAACCAAAATAAAAAATTTCTAACAGCTATAAAGGTAAAATTCTGTTTGCTTTTAGCTCCAAACTATCTTGGAATGTTTAAACTGCCTTATGGTCCTAGGAAAGCACACGTTTACCTTGAGTTCTAGGACATAACGGTATAGCAGGGAATGAATATTCTCACTCACCCGTGAGACTAGAACCACAACCAGGCACACTGAAGATTGCTAAAGTTGAATGTAGAAAAATGACTTCAGGAAGGGGCTCTAATGTGGATACTCTAATGGAACAGGGTGGTAGTAGTAGAGGCAAAGGGGCTGAAGTCCCTGCAGTCCAAACTCCTGTGCACAGGAATTTATAAAGAATATGAAAGGTACACGTATTTTCATACTTTTGGACAGTCAGGCAGGTAAAAAAGCAAGATTACAATAAACTGCAGATATTCTTGAGAATCACCTACTCCGGGGAGTATATTGGTAGACCTGTCTTATCCGTCCAAACGAGGTTAGGTTCAGGGGGAGAGATGCTGTCAACAGCTAGATCAGCACTTAAAGCATGCAGTTCCAAACCCATTCATACTCACATTCATTCCTATTTACATATCAATCATTCAATTAGGGTGATAGAGTACACAATAACCCTCCATCACTCCATTTACACTTATAATAACTAACCTAATTGAGGGTCGATGGGGTACTTGATATTCTGTCATCGACCCTTACATTCACTCTTAACATAACCCAAATATTGCTCAAGCCCAATTCACTAATTTGGGTGACTTTCCTGCACACTCTGTATGGAGCAAAGGAATTGACCTTTCAATTAGGTGGGACACATCAAGCAACCTTTTCTCTGCATGCCAAACACATGTGAAATTTGGCCCAAAAGTAGGTGCCCATGTGTCAACCTTATATTCTTAATCGGGTGAGGATACACCTTCTCTTACGAGTCAGATCCTCTGAGGGCCACCCATCAACAGGGTCTTCTCTGTCACTGCTACTTTCTTTTAATCATATTTTTATTGCAACCTTGCATCTGAGGGCTGGATCGTGGTGGTTAAGTCCAGAGGTTGGGATGTCCAGTCATCTAGTCTGCTTTTTCATTACCCTCCAGACCTATGTGTCAGTACGTTGGCAACTACTACTGTTTTGCCGAGACGCTCCAGATCATGGTATTTCTCCAACAAAAGCATTACAAAAGGGTCGACAGAAAACAAACCAAAGTAACCATGATGAGGAAGTTGGTTCAGACTACGTAGGCAAAGCCACCATCATCTCGAATCGCCCCAAGCACATGCCAAACCACATAGTTCTGTCATGTAAATCCTACAGTGTGGACGCACCCTCACAATACATGACTCTCGCCTTCGTCAGTCTTAGTCCTGTCTGTAAAAACAAGCGAAAACCAGCATAGTACAATCTAGGAGCATGCCACACTGTCAAAAGTGCCAATGTATGGCGGAGTGGACGACTCGGACAACACGGGAAGATTTTCCAGATGAGTAGGTTCAGAAGTACCCAGGGTAGAGTTGGCTGTCCCACAAGTGTCATCTCTGCCCTCCCTAAGGCTTCGTCGAACGTATTCCTAGAGGTTGCATCCAGGTCGTCATATATTCTACTACAATGCTATTGTTTTGACTGAATTTTGATGCTTATTTCATTCCATGCACCCTCTTTCTTGTTAAGATGAGTTTATCTTTAGCATTCGACAAAAATCAGTAGCTATGAATAATTCAGATAAGTTGGTCGTCTTGGTCCATTCTAATATGCGAGACAAGTGTGATTACACGGAGAGAACCAAACAAAGCTATACATAAAAAGAGCACTAAAAAACCGATTGTTGGTCGGCCCGAAACATCCTCGTGCCAAACATTTTGCAATCTTGGCTAGGCACGAGAAAAGTTTAGCAAGTGATTTTTGTACAGTGGAAATCCAGCTTAATAATGTTACTGCGTTTCTTTCCTTCACCTCGACGGTGTCGATGTGTGGCGGCCATCTAAGCTTTTGATCAAATGTGAGGCCAAGGAAACTCGCCGACTCTACTTGTATTATCACCGCACCGCTCAGGCAGATCTGCGGAAGCCCGTGGGCCCTCTTCAGCCTGCAAAAGTGTATCAATACGGTTTTCAATTTAGAACAGCTGAATCATTTTCCTCAGGTCTTCCAGCCATACATTTATCGCTAACTCCTACCTCTGCTAGGTCTTTCCCCGAAAAGAAAAAGTCAACATACAGCAAATGTCAGACTTGTTATAGTTATTAGTTAATTATTTGTTGGGATTAAATAAATTAAAACATTATTTTAGGTTGATCTTAATCCCGTCTATTTGAAGGGAGGGCTGTTTGATAACATAATAAGCAAGTTCACCATTGGATGCTGTATTTTTAGCATGCTGACCATCGCAAAGACTGCCATCACCATGTAATCCCCCAACCCAATAAAATGGACGCTTATGAATATTTGAAATAGATTTTGTAATTTAAATTGTACAAATATAATATTATAAAGAAGTTTTATTCAAAATATACCTATTTATATTTTAATTTTAAATATATTATATATGTGTATATATAATATTTTAATTGTCTTAGTGAAATATCGATTTCCCCTTTGCCAAAAAAGGGGAATTTTTTTGGTATCAAACACAAAAAAATTAGGACAACTTCAATTCAAAAATTATAAATTAAAATTTTTTTACATCATATTTTACACAATTGTTATCTTTTTTTAATTTGTTAACAATAGGAATGCGTTTGTCTTGTATAACAGTATTTACAACCTTTGTTTTATACATCGGACATGGCATAATGTCAACTATGCCATGAATATAATGAAAAACATAAAAAAGAAGATCAGAACAGCGAAAATTTTGATCATGAGCCATCGATTTGACGTTACAGACTGGAAGTATTTCAGGATTTCCCTATGTGCAGCTTCTACATTCAGTTCTGTATCCTGCACATTTGTGTCAATCCTAAAACAAATAAAAATACAATATATAACGATACTTTTTCTACTTAAGGTAATGTTAATATCGGGTCATAAAATAAGGTCCTTAGCTTTTTTTAATTGTAAATTTAATGAAAAAACAGGTTCGTGTAAACAAATTTAATTAACAATATATGAACCGTTTATAAATGTACATTCCATGGAATTTTGTAAATCTGACCTCCCAGAACTTCTCGTGTTTTCTGCAGCCCTCAAGTGAAGTGAAATTTTCCCCTTAATACACTTTCATAGGAATAAGGTAAAATTTAGCAACGTCAGGCGGTGGGACAGCACATCCTAGCCAAACTACAACAATTTCTGGCACATCTGCAAAGACCCATGAGAAGAGCGTTATCCTGGTGGAAACCAATCCCCTAGCAATAGCCAATGCCAGTCATTTTTTATCAATTGCTGACCTTAATCTCACTCAAATTAAATAAAGCAACCCCTAACAATCCCAATACATACACCTTACTTTTTTTTTAATGTAATTTGGCTTTTGGATCTATTAACAGTGGATCACTGCGTTTTCCCAGCATTTTCCTCTCTGAACATTGTTGTAAAGAATCCACTTTTAAGCTCCAGTTTTTAATTATTTTAAAAATTGGCAGTTTACATTGCTTAAAAAAAAAAAAAATAAGTTGAGATGTAGCCCAATAAATTTTTCCGAATCAACATAAGTAAATTCCTGTAACACAGAAGGGCTTAACTACCTGGTGTCTTGGACGAGGGGCCAAATCATTTTACTATATATTTTTTCATACTATAATCAATTAAAACATCAAGAACTCTGCCGGGATCTGAACCCGGATCTCCTAGTGTGGTAAATATTAATCGGATGCCCTAACCAACATTTGAGGAACCCATCGCTTCAACAAGCATACCAGCTGTTACCAGATGTGTTGAAACACCTGTATGAGATAAAGTGTCTGTGTGGTAGAAATTATGAATGATGGAGTGAGTGCAGTGTTCAATCCTTTTTTAAAAAAGAGTTCCTACTCACAGTAAGTTGTTTTCCAATGGTCTGGATTTCGAGCCCTTAGCTCATAATCAGGTTGAAGCAAATGTTATAATGGTAAATACTGTAAGAAATTAATTATAAATTAGTGATTAAATTAATCCTTTTACTCTTGTTTTTATTTCTCTACCGCTTTGTCCTATATATTTAATTTCACAATCGTTACAATTAAGTTGGTAAACCCCGCTTTTTGCCAAGTTGTCTACCTTGTCTTTAGGTTTTGAGAGGATGAATTTGAATGGGAATTATAATATTTACCTGTGTTATAATTCCCGTTTTTCACACGTTCAAACTGAGCGCCATTAAAAAACCAGCTTCTAATTGGAACGCCGCGTTGGCGGGGGTATTGGCGGGTTCACTTTTGCAATTCATGTCAAGAGACGTGATTGTAGAAATCCTTCAACCTGATGATGAGCTAAGGGCTTGAAACCCGGATCGTTGTAAAACAACTTACTGTGAGTAGGAACTATCTTTTTCGAAAAAGGATTGTGCTGTCTGGTGTTGTTGAGTGTGGTTTATTTGTGACAAACACTTGAATATGTCTTCTTCAATAGTTAATTTTAAATTATCAAAACACCTTAAATAATACTTTTTCAGTGTGTAAGCAATAATGACAAAACATTGCTTCAAAATGCAAGTGGGATAAAACTGAATTATTGAAAAATGCTACAGACTTATTTTACAAGCCAATACAATAAAATAATTAACATTCAAATTACCTATCGACCATTTCTTCCTGTTCTTTAACCATATGAGCCAGCTGTTGAAAAATACCACCGAGTTCGACAATCGTTGACTCGATATTTTGCATTGTTTCTGCCCTACTGGTCAAATATTGGTCCTTTAAAAATACACATACAATTAGAATTAAGACAATTCGAAAATAAAAGATTTAAAAATCAAAGTAGTTACAGTCTCATCATATGAAACAAGTTGCATTTGTTTATTTGAAGTCGGCTGGCCACTCATATCTATGGTGACAGCATTATCTTCAGAGAGAAGCACAGAACCCTGAGCTCCTCCGCTGAAAACAGAATGAGGAGCAGATGCAGACACTGTCCCTTGGGAAAACTGCTCCCTTCGTTTTTTTGCTTCTTTCAGATTCTAAAAAATAAAAGTAAAAATACAACTGAGCATACAAAAAAGTACAAAATATGATTCTTACCTCAGTCCTAACTTCTAATACGTGTTTGAATTGTGATGACATGGAAGCTAATTTGGATTGAAGGGCTAAAACGATGCTGGAAGAATGCGTAAAAAGATGCTGTGCTTTCGTTTGGTTTCTAGTTTCATTTTGCCGTCTCGTTATGTCTTGCAGACGGGCTATCTGGGTATTCAGACTGCTCAGATCTTCTTTTATAATATAAGTCAATTCCTGTATTTCAGCCGGTTGATCATTGAATAAAGGCTTTCGTTTGGCCACTGAAATTTGCAAAATATAAATTTTATCAAGTTGTAGTAAAATGAACAGAATTTTTTTTTAATGAAGCTACTACACTGTAAATTAATCACAGATCAAATAAGATTTTTCGGCAGATGTAAATCAACTTTTCCAGTAATGTCAAAATATTAATTTTTTACATAAAATTTCAGCTTTTTTCTCCAGTTTTTTCAACTAACAACATCAAGTAATAGGTGTTGGCTTTATTTCTATGGTTGTATGCAATATGATCTAACTTTCACCCTGAATGCACTTAGTTTATTAACCCAACACATTTCCCCCTTTTTGGCAAATATCCTTTACTTTTCTATTGCTACTTTTTATGATGTATTATTTTATATTTTAAAGATACAGTATATAAGAATAAAAATGGTGGTATGGTTATCCTATGTGTAACATTACAATCTGCCATATTACAATTGCAATGTAAAGTAAAAGTGGGTACAAGTTTTATTTGTACTTACATAAAGTGAGTTTTTCCAGTTTCGTATACGTGCTGCTTATGTTTTTCCCAATGCCGGAAGATAGCAGCCTGAACTCCCCATAGTTTTGCAGATGTTTCGCTTTAGTTGCATCTTTTACAGCGACAGCGCGTACAATGTTCCTCCCTTGGAGAGACCGAACGGCGAGGTGGAACTCTTTGGTCCTGTCCCTCGACATTCTACTCCCGAATTCCTCTTGTTTCAGACTCGGCCGGGCTGAAATCGCATTGCCGTTTCCCACAACTGGGCCCCTCGGGCTGTCGATTTGAATCAGAGGCTGCTGCTGTTCTGATTCCGACCCACCTCGACGTCGCCTAGCTGACATTTGGTTATCTCAGCATATTTTAAAAGGTTCTACCTATAAAAAAAAGTTCAATTTAAATTAAAAAATTTAATTAATTGTCAACAAACTGAAATATTTTTAATATGATTGTTAACAGAGTGTAACAAAGATGGTTGCTTGTGCTAGTTTTTATACTTTCAGTTTATATTTTTACATTTTTATGTGTATAAGTGTAATATTCAGTTTTGTTGGGAATACACGATTAATTTAATATTATTTTTTTGTTTTTTTTTACAACATTCGTGATAAAAATTATGTGTCTATTAGCTTAAAAAGGTTCTTTTCATCTACTGCCTGCTTAGCAACCAAACACTCCAAGAGGTAAATCGTTTAAATTACACTCACTTTATTTCTCCCGATTAAACCCCTGCACGCTCTTTCTCAAATTGAAGCCGAATTTACAATAAAAACGAATAATTAATCAATTTAGCACTAATTTAAGCTAGAAGTAACTTCCACGTAATGTTAACAGTAACAGCTGGGAAGAGGGCGAGAAAGCAGTAAGCACTCCTGTCACGACCACGTTGGCCAATCCACACTGACAGAAATGCCCTCTCGGTCATTAAATAAAAATAATAATTTAATCATTGTAATAGTAAATTTATTATACATTACAATTGAAAAAAAGACATTTACTACTTGTTTTGCGAGAGTTTTAAACAGTTGGTTTTCTTAAAAAGGGCTGCACAACCAGGATAAATTTCCTCTGTCCTGTGTGTGAAAGTTTCTATGGCAACCCAAGCAGTAAAATAACAAACAAATAGTCAATTTTAAACTGGCTTTGCTTTTCAACTTGGAACTTTTCAGGTCCAAAGAAGAAAATGTGGACGATTTAAAAAAATTACATCTTGGCCAAGGTAAAATAAGCCAACAGAGCTTTTAATTTTGTGTTATTTTACCAAAGTGAAACTTCAAACTGCACTGTTTAAAAAAAAAAATTCCAACTAATAAACTATCTAATAATGATACTTTGACTTAAGATAAAAGTTTAATTTAAGAGTTAAATTATTTTTGTATTCAACATTCATGGATCAGACTTATTTTATAATTCAATTCATATATTGTATCTTCTGTAGTTTTCTAATTTAGATGGTTGGAGAAAGGAAAACCAAATTAAAACGTACAGTTCTATTTTATTGCTAACAGAATTGCCATCTACTCAGACAATCAGGCAGCATAAGGGCAATTACCGCATCAGTAGTAAAGTGTAGAGTCATTTGGGATTGCATTAAGGCCCTGAGAGACATTGGGGAAAGTAACAAATTGTATGGGTACCAGGGCAGAGGTGCAATGAAGAGGACGATAAACTGGGCAAGGAAAGTTCAATCGGGACACCTATCGGCCCTGAACCCTTGTGCAGCGGTACAAATTGTCAAAACTTAGATCCATCGGACAATGGGTTAACAGCAAGTTCTCGGTTCAATGAGAAAAGACAAAAGTTCAAGAAATATCACAGAAACTAACTGCTAAACTCCCAAGCCTAGGATATGTTAAGGCTAGAGTGATAGTAGAACTGCTGACTCTGAAGCAGCAGAAAGAAGCCTGTGTTGCATAGGCATATGCAAGCTCAAATTACTACTCCTTGAAAAAAAAATGCATGAAGGATGCATACAGCCTTATAAAGCTTTGGGTTCTGGTAAAAAAGTCTTAAATTTAACAAAAAGTCTAGACAATTATAGAAATTGCCCAATAGACCAATATTGGTCATGGTGCACTAGGTCGTAAAGAGACCAACTCCTTTTAACCATAAACCCTGCTTAGCTTTTCCTCTCCCAGGAGTAGTAAATAGTTTAAGTAGCAAGCCTTAAGTAGTAAGTCTTCACACCAAGAAAGGACATATTCCATTGCTTCTTCTTTTTCCTGGCAATATCTGCTCAGGCTTTTTTCAGCCGCTCCAGTCTATACATACATATGTCTCTGGGTTTGTGACCAGCGAGCAGTTAAACTATTATTCTAGTCCTGACACATATGCATTAGTTTCTGTGGAAGGTCTTTTGATTTTTTTGCATGCCTCTGTCCTGGGCTACATCAAACGGATTTATTTTTAATCCATTGTGTGATGGATCCACATTTTTGGCAGTTTGGTGTACCAAAAGGGTTAAGGGCCAATGGTCCTTATCAAACTTTCCTTGGTAAATTTATCAGCCTCTTGTTGCCTCTACCTTATGTGCCCTGGTGCCCAAATAATTTTGTTATTTTCCCCAATGTCGTTTTGATATTACTCAATATTTCAATATTTTAGATTTGGACCATCATCAGTGAGAAAATAACAAACCCACAAGTGTAGGCAGTCTGTGTGTTCACAGGCTTGTATACCAACATCCACCATCAACTTCACTTGTTGGATGGGTACACCCATGTTGGGTGAAATGCCAAAAAGGGATTTAAAAAAAAAAACATGTTTTCTTCTGGACAATGAATCACTGAAGATGATGAATTGCAGAGGCAATAGTCAAAATAATTATTCCCTTTTTCTAATGAACCATGAACCAAAAATTGTCAATTTATAAAAATATATTTGCCTAAGCGCTTCAAAATAAAGTACAGCAATTTTTTATGAGAGCGTTTCCAACTTGCAATTTATAAATTATTTGTATACAAATACAGTTATTAAATGCAACTGAAAGATTTTAAACAAAATTAACATAATTTTAACTGCTTTTTTTAAATTAAATTATTTATAACTTACTCTACTTTGATTCAGTTATGATAATCTTTTACAATATAATTTCAACACCAACAAATAACTTGTTTTTATATAAGTATTTATTTACTAACTAATAATATATATTTTATTTTTTTATTTATTATTTAATTTTAACTTTAAACTTATTTAATTTTAAGTTTTAAAATTTTAAATACACAAACTACTTTTAAATAATTACAACATAAATCAGATGAGTTGTCTCAATTCAGTATAGCCTCTTCAATCAAATAGCTGATCAATTTCTTAGTGTTTTAATCATCGCCACGTGCCAATTGGCTAATAATATTAGAAATTTCAGTTTTAGCAAAGATTTGAAGTATGACTGCTGTAAGCACGCCTGTTCGCCAGGCTACAAACAACGAAGATGAACAAGGATTCACACCATTCATGACAATGGAAAACCTTTTGGAAAAGTTAAAACTGTTAAACTATGACGACGAATTTATAAGAAGCCTCAAGATGAGACCTTTGAATCGGTAATTTTGATTACGCCTAATGTTGAGGATAAAAACCGTAACACTGGCCATATTTCAGGCATTATTTTGCTCTTCCATTGAATCCAGGGGAACAGTTTTTCATGTTTGTCTCACTTTCTGCTTGGTTAATAAGAAAAGTCGGGCTGAATTTCGACCAGCCACAAGAAGATGATGATCCAAATTCGACAATTGCAAGCATATTAGAAGCTCTTCGATCACTTGTAAATTGCTAATTAAGTTGTTTTTCAAATTATATTTTTTAATTAATTTTTTAGGATATCCCAGTAGATTTTTCCCCTAGCAAGTTAAAAAGAGGCTCTGGTGTGTACAATTTACAGTGCCTATCAAATTTGGCAGATAAAGCTTTGGAAAAAGAGAACTTCAAATATGAAAAGTAACTTTAAAGCTGTTTAATAATTTTATTCAGACTTAATAGATTTATTTCTACACAGGCCGATAGAGCCAATAGGCGTTGAATTGATCCAAGATGTCACAGACGTTGACAATGAACTGGAAGTCACATTGGATAAAATAGAAGAAGAAATGGCCATCGAAGATGACAGTGAATTAGACGAAGATAATGAAATGGATGTAGATGATCTATATTTGGCTTCGGTATGCTAAAATCCAGACCTATTTTTCTTATTTAATCATTAACCATTATTATTACAGTCTTACATGGAAAATAGTAAAGTAAATGAAATAATAGAAGGAAACGTTTCAAGTGAGGCTTGGAATCTAGAATTGGAAAGAGTTCTGCCTTTATTAAAAGTCTCTATAAAATCCAGTAAATATTTTGCAGGCTATGAATTTTTTTTAATGCAATTACATGAAAATTTATTTCAAGATAGTGGCGACTGGAGGTCGCATTTAGAAACAATGAAACATCATCAAAATGGGCTTAAGGAAATATCATCTTTTGTCACGACACAGCTCAATAAATTGTCAGTCGACGTCGACGATGTGATGCAGAAAATAACAAAAAGGGAAAAATTAATCAACAGCCAGTTTGAACTCATTTTGACCCAGTATCGAGCGCTTCAGGTTCACACTATCCAACTCGTATCAAATATGTGTTTGAATCAAATAAAATTTCAGGATGAACTAGCAAGTGTCAACGAAAAGTACAGAGACGTCAATGTCGGCGTTGTAGAACGTCAGAAAATGTTGAATCAGTACACGGACAGTTTAGAAGCTGTCAAACAAGAAATGGACGAAAGAGGAGCAACCATGTCAGACGGATGTATGATAAATGTTGTTTTTTCGTTATACATTTTGATTAAAATAATGTTGTTTTTTTTCTCCAGCTCCCTTGGTCCATATAAAAAAAGCAATAAAAGACATAAAAAAGGAAATTTCCGATATGGACATAAATATAGCAGTGGCAGAGCACATTATTGTAGAATCAAAGTTGAGAGATAAATCTATGGAATCTCACCTCATTCGAAGTTCTGGATTAAACTAAAAAAAAACTAATTTAACAAATATTTTGTAATAAATCTACTTTGTTGGAAAAAATTGTGTATTTACTTTGTGCAATTTGATCCTTACCAATCATCTTGGTCTACCTACCATCGCAGGTTGGTCTTTCAGAAGTGTTTTGGCATTTCACCATCTTCATTGTTGTGTCGCTAGTGATATGCTGCAAACTAATCCAGCGAGGGCAGGCAGACTATTAAATTCAAAAACGATCAAATTGGATCATAGGAGAAAACTTCAAGATCTTTATTTTCTCTAGAAAAAAATTCAAGAATGGTTGATGTATTATTTTAATATGTAAAAATATGCCACTTTAAATATACCCAAGATGTGCATTTGAAAACAAAATAAATATCAGTAAATTTAGTATTTTTCTTATCGATTATAGGCTGCTGAACTGCTTGAGTTGATCTTTGAACTTCAGTCTGAGTCCTTTTAAATAATTTATTATTAGAGTCAAAAAGTGCAAAGGTAAATAAACAAAAAAAAATGCGTTGAAAATAATTGTACAATTAATATTTATTGAAACATATACAAAAGCAGTTTTCATTAATTAACACCAATTTAGAATCCAACTTTTCCAAGTTTTGTGTTAGTTTTAGGATTAGCCGTTATGTTCTGAACGGCAACAATCGTCTCATTGATCTTTGTCTGTAAATCCCTCAGATCATGTATGTACAAGAGTCGCAGGACTTTTGCGGCCTGGTTCAAAACATAGTCGCCCATGTCGAAGCCAAGATCAGTTTCCATGATTGGAAAAGGTTTTCCCTAAAAATTAAAACAAAAAATTACATCTGTTTTTAACTAAAAGTTTTAATTAAACCGAACCTGTTTACTTTCAGGATTATCCGTACTGTTGATGCTGTTAGCCACTAGAGAACAAATCGCCTCTAACGTAACAAGATGATCCGGGCTAGGTGTCACTTTCAAAATTTTGGCAAGGCTATTAACTCCAGTCTTGAATTCTTCACTATGAACTGAAATAATTTTGTTATACGCATATATTTTTAAATGGATAAAATGTAAAACGTACAGTCAAGGTTGTCCAAAGGGTTGCTAGAGGTCACAACAGGGGCATCACTCTTACTAGCAGCTAGCAACGCAGATGTTTGTTTCTCGTATTTTTCTTCTGTAAAAATTATTTGAGATGAATTTGGAAAAAAAAATGAAAAACTGGTTGACCCTTATCCACAATACCCAACGGATAGTTGAATGTTAAACCCTCCTATAATACAGGAATTACTTTTCTTTTGTTTGTGCCTTCAATCACTAAGGGTCATTTAGGCTGGGAGTCCATGTATTGTTCTGTTATGTACATTGGAAAGAAGAGCCCACGTAGAGCAGTATTCCCCGGATGGGCAGACCAGCCCGTGCCACCCGCGGGGTGAATGGGCAAGCACCTCAGGTTTTAACGAAATCATTCCTCCTTGTATTTAAGGATGTTTTGTGAAGGATGTGGATAAAAACCATTTGCATCGCATGTAGTGAAGCCCTTTTTTATTTATTCACTGATCTTGAATATTGAATAGAATAATATGGAAAAAGTCTTACAGAGGTTTTGACCCCCCCGTACACGACATTCAATGGGTACTTGAACATTAAAACCTTTCTGTATGACAAAAAAAATCACTTTACTACACAAAACATATTTTGCATGTTGTAGTTCAGTGAACAAAACCTGGCATAACCTTAGACTTTTTTTTAATGAGGGTATTTCAACTACGAGGTTATATGAACCCTTGGGGTGCCAATGTTTTTAAAAAAAAAAAAAAATTGTAAGTATGTCAGGTTCACTGGATTTGAACCCAGGACCTTTACCTTACAGTGAAGGATGCTGTTCCTTAACCGTTGTGGCCACTGACACCCCACCCTTAGACTTTCAAATGAATTTGTAAGAAAAGAAATTCTGAAGTGGTTGACTCTCGACTCTCAGCAGGTAGTTGGATATTAAAACTCTTCTGGATGACAGAAAATACTTTACTTTATATAACCTATTTTGTCACACTAGAGGTTCTGGATTCGGATCTGGGCGTAGCATAGCACAAGAAGTATTGTAAATGGTTCTGATCCCTTGCCCATGGCATTCAACGATAGTTGGACATTAAAACTCTTCAGCACGTCAGGAATTACTTTACTTTACAAAATTAATTTTGCCACTTTACAGGTTCTAGGATTGAATCCCAATGAGGACCATAAATAGTTTAATTGATAATAATAAAAGCAGTGTAAAGCAGTTTTAAACCCTTGTCCAAGACACCCAACAGTAGTTGGTCATCAAAACCATGCTGTATCATAGAAATTACTATACTTTACAAAACGTATTTTGTCATTAGTGGTTCTGGGTTTGAAATGCAGCATAACACTTGCTTTTTTTAGATGAATTTGAAAAAAATATAAAGTGGTTGACCCTTTGTCTGTGACACTCAAAGGGTAATTGGACATGAAACCCTCTCGTATAACAGGAATAACTTTTTTATTTATTCATTTATTTCAATATTTTTCTGATATTGAATATGCAGTGCCCTTTTCTTTCTGTTTTCATCTGAAAGTTCTTTCTATTCAAATCTTTCCAGATTTCTGGATTGCCGATTGTACAGTGAGAGACTACCACACACAGGATCTACACCAGGTTCGCCAAGAAATAAAGAACTTGGCAAATTATAGTGCAAATTTGTTAACTGAATATACTGTGCGTAAAAATTACAAAACTGCACTGTCTCGCCTTGTGGGCAGTGCCATGTCAATACTTACTGCCGTCTGAGTACTCCTGACGAACTGCCAGTCCGACGATCCATTCCAGACTTTCCGGCTTGTTGTCGTAAGGTATGGGTGACTCAAGGTCTTTGCAGTATTTCTTGTAATGCTCCATCCATTGGTTTGATTTGACATCACGAAGGCCGTCTCTGTCCTCGATCTTGTACAGCCTGATGAACTGATCCTCCAGCCACAGGATGAGGTTCTTGAAATGGTTGAAATCTACAAAAATGCTCGTTTAGCATGATGTAAATATTTTTATCGCAATTATGTGTTACCGTTTATGTCGAAATCATCGGCTGAATGATAATTCAACGCTTTCAATTTCCTCTTGACCATGTCACCTTCTATGACTTTATAAACGAGCTGGCCAACTGGATATAAATAATTAAATTTCAAATCGTTTGTACACAAAAAAAAATTATTGTTGCAGAATAAGCTATCCTTCCAACCGGCTTGTTATCGGATAACCGAGAAATAACCTTCGGCTATTCTGGTTTAAGCCCATAACAGCCTGGTGGGATGTCATAAAAATTTAATTTTCTTTGGAGAACTATAAATTTTGGTAGTTACATTTAATGAACAAACAATGACGATTTTAATATTACTAAGCAATAAACGCCTACACTTTTAACTCTAGAAAAACTGCCTTTGGGTAAATATATTTAAAATGTTACAGATCACATATACTTTTTTCAGAACAGAATACTGCATAAATTGTTTATAATAACAAAAATTATACTTACTTAAAATGGACAAGATAAACTTGAAACTTAAAATTAGAAGTTGGTTTATTTGTTTTACAATATATATAGNATCTGGCTTAAGTACAGTAGCGAGCATTTGGGTCCTCTGTTCTGATTCTTGGAGGAAACAGGGTAGCATTACTTTATATTGTAGTTTTATAATTTTTTTTCCAATGGATACCAGGAACTGAAGGAGTTCCCTCCTGAGCACTGCAGCTGTACAGCTTGTTGTACTTTATCCCTGGCTCCATATTTTTGGGGGCTAGCAACACAAGTGTGAATTTCAGCCTCCGGTGTGCCGGTGTTCTTTCATCGAAGAAACACATTTTTGAAGGGGGTTGGAACAAAATTCAGGGTCGCTGAGATCTGATCCCGCTCCTTCCATTGATCAGTGCCGTGTCAATTTCTTTCAATTGCAGTCACCGATCCCCTTAGGCATCAGAAAAAGTCCAGAGGCAATGGTGGGGATCAAACCCACGACCGCGGGATCTACTAGCCGAGAGTCTGATGCCTTAACCACTCAGCTACTGTGCCCCCCCTACAATTAATAATAGTAAAAAAAAGTAAGGCAATACAATTTAAATAATATAAAAATGACATTTTGTTTTAGCCAGTATGTGGACTTTCTCCCTGAAGGGGTTGTCACTCACCGGTGTGCTGACCCTGGAATCCCTCAGGGGAGTTCACCTACACCATTATGCAGCTTGGTCAGTAGTCAGATGATAACTAAACAGGAGGATATCAAGTACAGATACAATATGGTATATAGATGGTTAATGAGCCCTGACAAGCCCAAAACATTTGCAATAAAACTCATTTCAGAAGTACACCTCGGTTTTTCAAGCTAAAATCATGCCATCAATGCATGTGCTTTAGGAAATCATAAAAGTGGTTACACTGGCAAAAAAAATCCTAAAGGCATGAAGGCCAAAGCAAATCTTGGCTAACGAAAGACAACCAATATATCAGGTCGAATTTTGGTCTTCAACACATTGGCAAATCCTTGGCTCTTCCTAGTCAAACCAAGGGGTTGGGGCCAAGGGATTCGGCCGTGTAGAATTGCAGTGAACATAACTGGACTACTGACTGTTGACTATGTTGCTTAGCATCACGAGTGAAGATAGACCCAATAAGCAACCCTATGCCAGTTCAACAGGTTCTTCGACTAGCTGGCCAACACCCATCATCAACTATAATCTTTTAAGAAGTATTAGGTCATTAACTGTCATTACTAAAATTCCTTTCTCTGGGTTTTCTTTGTATCCCAGGTAATTGCTTTGCATTCGAGGATGGTGTGGGTGGCTGTTTCTTCTTCCTTATTGCACAACCTACAAATGGGGTCATTGAATATGTGTTCTGTATTATGTACATGTTTTCTTAGAGGTCAGTGACAACAAATATTCCTATCACTCATCTGAGTTTAACTCTCCTCTAACTGTAGCAGTGATTCTGCCATCTTGGTGAAGGTTGTTTTAGCATAAGCTTGCTGTGCCTAGCACCCCTAGAATTTACCCACTTCTTTTTTTTCTTTCTATTTTGAATGTCAGCAACACTTGTGTCTTAGAAAATCTTAAAAGAGGTAACAACAACAACAAAAAAATCCTCATAAGATCAAATAGCTTAGCATGTAAAGCATGTAAAATATCACATCAAAACTAGTCAGTGGATGCATCCAAAATCTCCAGAACCTAAGGAAACACAATCCTGATGATATTTTTGGTTAATGAAAAAGCAGACATGTCCAGAGGAAGATCTGCATGTCATATATAGGCCCTGCATAATCATTCCTTAATGTCCATTTGACTAGCTTCCTTTCTCTCCTGAGTTTTCTTAGTATCCCAGGTTATATTGAGCAATTGCCTAGCACCCCTAGAGTTTATCCACTTCTCCTTTTCTCTTTTTTGAATCCATTCTGTGTTAGAAGATTGTGTTTGTGTTTGTTATCCCAAGAATAGGTTCAGGGCTTATATGTCTTGCAGATCCTTCTCCGAACGGACAGTGGGTACCCAGATATCATCAGGTTGTGTTTTCCCAGGTTCTGAAGATTTTGGTTACAATCACCGACTATTTTTTATATGATTTTTTTTCATGCTAATGCTTTTACATCTGTAATAACAAGGATTTTTTTATCAGTGAAAAAAAAATTCTAGGGCACAAGCATTGTAATATTTCAGCTTGAAAGACCAAGGTGTTTTTCCAAAATGAGTTTTATCGCTCAAGCCTTTTACAGAAAACACCTGATGTGGTTCCTACATTTGTTTTGAGCCATTGGTATGCTATATCATTATATCTGATTTTCTCCTAAATTCTTTTCCTCCTTTGAGACTTTGTACAATGTTTTAAAGGGTGTTTCCATTCAGTCCCCATCTGTAAGAATAGGAAGAAGTCTGATTTTATTAATTATTGTTGTTTGCCCCACGTGTTTAGTTCCCATTCAGTTTGATCGTTTCTTGAGCTTAAATGAGCTTTTCCTCACATAAAATTTCCAATAGATTAGGTTTAGCAGTGTTTCTAGTAATATTGACTGTGTTGTTTTCATTGCCCCTGTAATACATAGGTCTGCCAGTCTTTGATGATGCCTAATGTTTTGATAGCTTGCTTTTGTTCACCAAATTTGTTTGTTGTGATTGGTGAGCTGGAGGATAATTTGTGTCTAGCTTGATGTTGTAAGTTCAATTGTGAAATGTAGAGGGCGTGGAGCTTTGTTTTGGTTGGGACCTTGGAGAAGGGTACACAATTTCTATCTTATTGTAAACAACTTGTGTTTTTTAACTGTGTATTCTCTCAGTAACAGTTAGTTTAATTATATTAATTGTACTATTTTTCTGAAAAACTTATTAAAAAAAATGCCTTCTGCCAAAGAAATGCTTAACAAAATATTCCTAGGAGAGGTGAGATATGTTTTAATTTTTTTTTTAAATTCACACTATATTTATGTATTGTGATTGTTTTTGTTTTTTCACCGTAAAAATTATGGCAAGTACTAACAAAATAATTCAACTTTTGTTTTTACTTTTCCATCAAATGCCCTGCTAGTTTGTTTATTGTCTAAATACTAAGTATTTTCGAATGTCGTAGCACGCAGAATCTAACCAGCTTGTACCTATTTGACGTTTTTAGGTAGCAAGTGTGCACAATTATGGGGCGTTTGTCAAAATCCCTGGGATGAATGCTCAGGGGCTTGTACATCGGACTCAAATGTCAAAATGCATTGTCGACGATGCTACTGAAATCCTCCAGCAGGGGGAGAAAGTTTGGTGTAAAGCGATTAAACTGACGGTAACGATTTAGTTGATCGATTCGATGAAAGGAATAATACGATGTCCATTTGCAGGATGATGGTAAATTATCCCTCTCGATGAAAGTGGTGAATCAAGGGACTGGAGCTGACCTGGATCCGAATGGCGTTCAGATCCAGTGAGTACTTTGTATTTTGATGATTTGTATTCAAAATTGCAGTCAATCATTTTTTCACATTAAGCCAGGATGAGCAAAGAAGAATGTCTCGACCACCTCCAGGTGGAAGAAAGAAGATAGAATTAGGCGCTGTATTGAATATTAATTGTTCAAAATGTGGCACTAGAGGTCATTTAGGAAAGGACTGTTTCCAGGTAATGGATTAGAAAAATTCTAAATATTTAACTTATTTATTAAAATTATTTTCAGGATCCTAGTGGAAAAACATATGATTTAATTCCGGATGAAGATGAACCACCAGAACAAAGCTTACCTACAAAGCTTCTCGAGGAGGTGAAAAAGAAGAGTAAAAAATCAAAAGAAAAGAAAGAGAAAACAGAAAAAAAGAAGAAGAAGAAAAAGAAAAGAAAAAGGTCTACTTCAACATCTTCCAATTCATCTACTTCCTCTGAGGTAAAAAATATCAATAATAATTGATACAATAATTGAGTGTAAAGAATATATTTATTTACAGGATACTCGTAAGAGAAAGAAAGCAAAGAAAAGTAGAAAAAGATCTCCAAGCCAAAGAAAATAAAGTTTGAACTCATGTTCTTATCTTCGAAAACTTATAATAAAATATATTACTGTATAATGTATAGATAAAATATTTTATTGCCAAATAATCTGCTTTTTGTTTTAATACAAATCCATAAAAAGACTTTTTAATAATGAGATGATCACCTAGACGCAACACTGAAGATGACGAAATGCTGAAATGCATCTGATAGACAAAACCAGCGAGGATAAGCAGATAGAAATGATAGGTAATAACAAAATTACAGGTTCGTCACACCGCAGAACACAAAGAGAAATATTGCAATTTGATCACTTTCTTTGACCTTTAGTCCAGCTTGAATAAGTATTTTTTTAGGCTGAGGAAATAGTACTCTCAAATAAGGCATTGCCGACTGACGCATGGACTCTTAATAGAGAAGCGGCCTAGTACATGTGAAACATGTGATGTACAGTGCATGTACATGTGTAACATATTTTAACTGACTGTGAGCACTATAGAGCAATGCTCCTTGTTAAATAATCTTGCTGATATGTTGGCAGATAATGCAGGGATACAGGAAAACTTTTAAATTTTTTAAATCAAATATGAATAGTTTAAATTTTTTCACAAAAAAAGCCCATAGAAAATGGCATTCGAATGTGGTTAGCTTAATTTTGCAATACAGGATCTGATATGTGAATTCGGTTGTCTTGAAGGCTGCTTGGCTAACTTTTCCTCGGTTCAGAAAATTGAGTTCATATTTCAACTGTACATGTGCTCTGAGAGTGATGTGAATTGTATATATTGTGTGAAAGTTACTTAAAATACAACCATATGAATTTTGAAAAACATTTTTTTGACTTCTCGAAGTTTGTATCAGTACAAATTTTACAGTGTTGCTATTTCATCGTATGTCAGAATTTTTAATTCTTTGTAAGTAATTACAGAAAAGATTGCTTTTATAAGATTTCATTTTTAATAGTGTAATATTAAAAAAAAATAGGGTAAGAAATATTTTCCAAATACATGCTTTATGATTTAAACTGTACAAAAATATTTTTTACAGTTTTTATTTATGAATTTTGCTTTACTATCATTAATGTAATTGTGTTTTGTTCATTTTACAAGAAAATAAATCTGCACCTATCAAAAACCACCACCTAGAAGCATATGTGCTCTGATAGTTTTTCTAAAAAAGACAGATTTTGCGAGTACGTTTTATACTGTACAATGCCGTCTACTTGAGTAAAATATATTATTTGGATAATTTGCATTTATTAATTTTAGTTTATTATCATTTATGATTGATGATATCATTGTTGAAGTTAATTTTTGGACATTTTGCAAGAAAATAAATATGCACCTATCAAATCTACCAGTAAAAGCATATGTTCACTAATATTTATGTTTTAACTGTGTATATTATTTGACAGTTAATTAAAATACATTTGAATGGATTTTGAAAAACACTTTTTTTTTCACTTTGCCAATATTTGATGAAAAATGGCTTCTCAAAGTTTTTATCAATATGTATTTTACAAAGCGTTGCCATTTCATTGTATGCCAGAATTTTTAATGCTTTTTAAGCAATTATTAAAAAGATCACTTGTTTCAGATTTCATTTTTTAATTTGTATATGTAATTGGGTAATATTTAGCAAAAAAGACCCTAAAAACGATAAAAATTTATGTTTAAGTAAGCCATATTTTGCAAGTACATGCTTTATACTGTGCAAAATATATTGTAAGGAATATTATTTTAACCATTTTGCATTTATTACATTTCCCTGATTATCCATTATAATCATCACTGATGAAATTATGTTTCGTACATTTTGCAAGAGTACATTGTGCATCTATGAAATCCACCAGGTAGAAGCACACGTGCTTTAAGTATTATGCTCAAATGGTATATAATTTTTGATTATTTTAGATAAAATGCATATATATTGATATTAAAGGAATTTTCTCCTCTTTTATCTATAGAATTTAATGTTGTTAATTGTTTTATAATTTTTACAGTAGTGAAAGGTCGAGAATCACCAGTTCATGCATCGATGAATTTTGTGATTTGTGAATCGATGTATGAGCACGTTGGCTTCTCTTTAAGCTGATTGTTTCCCTTGTGGTGTTGGACATCGAGGAGATTTGCCCTTCGTGGCGTTATTATCCGTTTTAATCCACGTATGTATTTTATCCCAATGGTTTTTCTAAACGGCAAATTGTTTCAATTTATGTTCCCAACTTGGAAAAATTGTCAGTTAAGATTTTTGAAAGTTGGAAAAATCCCGTGACCGATTTGCCGACTAGGTTACAAACATGTCACGTCCTCATTGATGATTTTCTATTTACTCGGGTTTAAAATCCTACGGAAAATGATTCATAGTTTTGTTAAGGCGAAGGTTTTATGTAATTTTTCGGTTTAAACATGATTTTCAAATTTTCATCAGTTCAATCTTTACTTAAAGCCTTTGCCCTCAAAAGGTGTTTTTCTCGGGCCCACCTTTTCCTTTTTTTTGATGAAATAGTTACATAAACATCACACATTGTACATCGATATATGTGATGTTCAGTTTTTATCTTGTACGCATATATTCATTGCTTAACAGTTAAGAACTAGCATATATGCAAGATTATCCGGATGTCTGGACTACATGTCGACATCCCATCTTTCTTTCGGGTGTTTACAGTTTGACTTGGCTGTTAATAATAATTAAATCACTTCAACGCATTGTATTGATGCAGACTTGCATTGTATATTCTAAGGCCTATGACACATGGCCTAGCAGTCTTGACTGAAGCATTTACCGAGATAAAAACAGTTGGTGGGTTGTTTCTTTGTCGAGAGGGACATGACAGATGGTGCAGTGTGTATCACCTGTCAGTTTTGAAATTGAGTGTGGGTTGAAGAGACGACCCCTGAGGTGGTTTTGAAAGCGTTTTCCTGGAATGGTTATGTAGTATTCCATCAGCCAGCACCTATCTGTTTTGCTCCTAACTAGGCGTAAACCATTTGTACTTTTTTTAAAAAATCTTTATCTTGACGGTTTCTCAATTTTAAGTCCAAATTATTGAAATGTCCTTTTTTTTTCTTTTTCCCACAATCAACTTTTTTCGTTCTATTCTTTAAATTCACTAATTTCGTGGTCCGCTTGACCAATTAATATATTACAATTAATTAAGGTTTTTAGTTGAGATATAAAAGTAAATGGCACGAGCAGGATTCGAACCCACTATCTTCAGCTAGATACGCCGCTGCTCTACCACTTGAGCTATAGTCACCTCGATCCACTCGGACATCAACTTCCTACCTCAACCCCACCTTTTTTCTTTCTTTTTTTCTATCAATAATTTAACAGGGACAGAAGTACTTGTCCTGCACTAATATACAATAGTAGAATATATTGTACTATAATTGACAATGGAAAACGAGACAACCAACAGCTATCAGCTGAAAAAAAAGTCACGTTAAACATTCTGGTCAAGACTGTTATGAGTGTCATAGCCTTAAAAGTTTTAAAGTAAATATTTCAATTAAGTTAATTAAGGTTTTTAGTTGAGATTAAAAAAAAAAAAAAAAAGGCAAAAAGGAGGGAAAATTCAAAAGGTGCAGTTGAGATAGGAAGTTAATGTCTAAGCGGATCGAGGTCACGATAGCTCAAGTGGTAGAGCAGCAGCGTATCTAGCCGAAGATCGTGGGTTCGAATCCTGCTCGTGCCATTGACTTTTTTTATCTCGACTAAAAACCTTAATTAATTGTAATATATTAATTGGTCAAGCGGACCACGAAATTAGTGAATTACAATTAAGGTTTTTCATGCCATTGTCACAAGCAAAAATTGATCAATCATTTTCAAATAATATGTTCAGTTAAGAACAGCTTTATGTCTAAATTTAACCTAATGGTGGCTCCAGACATGTGTATTCGCTGAATGCCGATTGCCGCCAATCATTTGCCAAGCCTCAATGTGTGAGTCGTCAACTTACTACCAATCGCGATGGACCACATTGAAACTGTCATTGCGGTATCTGTGGTTTGTGTAGTAGCTACAAACTCAGTCACAGAGAACTGTTGCCCTCTTCATTTTCAACTACGCATCGAAAAACCCCCATTTTTATGATTTGGAAGAGAAGCGTTCCAAATTATTGTACATGTCAAGGAACTCAAGACTGCTATGTTGGGCTAAAGGTAGCCATTCACGATTGCTCCTAGCAGTCCAAATGGAGTGACGCCGTTCCAAAAATCATGTCAATGGCAAATCTGAACTGGCGCGTCCAACTGTGCCGAATATTCGACCGGTCGAAACTCCATGGTGCATTCGTGAATGGAAAAACCTGTTGTGAATGGTGGAATGTTGGAGGGCTGGCTTGGTCATGAATGGGAAAACCCGCATTTTTTTTTGGCGCAGTCTCTGTCTTTCTGTCACTGAACAAACATCTCCATCGTACATTCTCAAAAAGCCAAAAACATTTATTCTTTATTGGCAATGACATCCAATCGAGATTTTATTGTTGAGGTGATTGAATTGTATGAAAGTTTACCATGTTTATGGAAAGTGGTGGACAATGATTACCATGATAGAAATAAAAGAAATTCGGTCCTCAACCAGTTGGTCGACCTTTTCAAAACAAAGGATACAAATGTAATGAGAGATGAGGTATTGATAACCCCTAAGCGCTGAGCAGAAATCGTAGTATAGAACTTCTTGTTAGTATAGAAGTTCTTCGCAGTTCATCCCTGTAGCGAGAAATTGTAATATCGTAATGTGGCCTTTTTTTTTTTTTTTTTTTTTTGAAAAAATAGTGTCATGAGGGGATTCGAATCCACGACATTCGGCTAAATATGCTGCTGCGCTCGTGACTTTGATAGTTCGATCCACTCGGACACCGACTCCCCATCTCAACCTACAACCTTTCGAATTTTCCCTCTTTTTGCCAGTTTTTGGTGTCCCGAGAGGATCAAAGTCACGATAGCTTAAGTGGTAGAGCATCTGAAGTCCATGGATTCAAATCCCGCTTGTGTCACTGACTTTTTCATTTTAACCAAAACCTTACAAAAAAGGATTAATTAATTGAAAGAAGTAATTTGGTCAATAGAACACTAAATATAATGAATGAATAGGATGTTTCATCAATCCTTAAATAGTTCCTCCAATCAGCGGGTTCAAGGGAAAGATCTTTCATCAAATTGATGTGCGTATTACGGCTTCTGTTCAGGAGCTACTTCTTACACCATTTCCTCTTTGGTTTTTTGCTTTTAATATATAAACAAAAACAGCGTAGCACAAGTTTGGAGCGGTCGTAAATGCCCCCTCAAATTTCAGGCACTCCAAATGGAGCTATACTGCTTGGCGCGGTTCCATTTGGAACGATCGTGAATGGCCACATTAAATTATTCAGTAGAACGATATATGTTCTTTCATTAATACACGGGTACTACTTAGGAATCGTTTACTAATGAAAAATAAATAGAAGTATATACTTACTGTTGATTGACAATTATAGTTGATATATGAACAGTTGATGCACCGAATGTGTGGATGCCTTGAGTTCGGCTACTTAACATATATTTGCACTCTAAAGCTGACAAGGAATCTGACAATTAGCCAAGCAAGGCTAGAATTGAATATTGTTGCTCGAAGAATAATTGCACATTTGTCCCCAGTAGTCGGTATTTGGTGAACCTTTGCTCAGCATATGGCGAATCCCACATGTCTGGAGCCACCTTAAGATGTAAATTATTTATCTCGCCAAAGTTCATAATCAAGAGTATAGAAGTTAAAGTAGTGTGTTATGTTTCTTTTTGCATAGTCTTCTTTTATTTTTGGATATTTGTCTTAATGATAAGAGTTGATTCTTAATGATAGGTATACTAGTAGAACTAACTCATGTTGGACCAGCATTGGGCCACTTATTGGGACCGTCTTCACTCAAGGGTTTTTTTAACTGCTCGGCATCAAGAGCGGTTATTTGCGCCATGCCATCTTTGTTCCTCATTCAGTTTCTCACTAAAGATGGCGCAATGCCGAAATGCGTTTGAGTAGTTCTACAAACCTGCAATTGAAGACAGACCCACTAAGTGATCCAATGCTGGTTTAGTGTGCCTATGTTTAGCAATTTTCAACCGTTTCATCTCTTAGGGCAAACTTTACTTTCCTTTTATCAATCACAATTGAGACTTTTGAAATAGTTGGTTCGGAGGAAAGTCTAAACTTTCCATATTTTATTGTTGGCTATTTACATAGTTTAAGTTGGATTTAAGTACTTTAGGTCGGCTATTTTTGTTTATTGTGGTTAACTTCACTTCACTTGTTAAATTAGTTTTCCAGGTTTATTTTTTGACATATGAGAGTCATCCTCAGAAACTAAATCTGATTGTCTTCCGTGACGGCTAATTTGGCTGTCCTGACAGCAAGATCGTTACCACAAATGTCAGTCGTGGTGTCTACACGTACAAGACTTACTCTTCTAGTATTCTTCTCTGATATCCCGGGGAATAACAGTACCTTTGCAAATTGTAGTAATTTCCGATCTTCCTTCCATTAATGGCAGTAAACCACTTGCTGAATTGTTGGCTAATTCCTCACTTCAGAACAAAAACCATTTCATTATCACTGGGTTTGATCAGAGGTAATAAGCCAAGACAGTGAGTTAGAAAGATCAATATTGAAAAATGATCAGGAAGATCAACTTACAGCTTTACCTAACAGACCTTGAAATCTCAATTTAAGAGCACCATTTGGTTTATTTAAATTGCTGTTCAGGTCTTAAATTTTGCTAATGTCCAGTCTTGATCCCTTAAACCTTGCAAATACCTAATTTGACGATGTAAAAAACTTTATTATCAGTCAATTAATTAAGGTTTTCAGTTGAGATAAAAAAAGTCAATGGCACGAGCGGGATTCGAACCCACGATCTTCGGTTTGATATGCCGCTGGTCAAGTAGTCACGATAGCTCAAGTGGTAGAGCAGCGGCGTATCAAGCCGAAGATCGTGGGTTCGAATCCCGCTCGTGCCATTGACTTTTTTATCTCAACTGAAAACTTAATTAAATGTATGATATTAATTGGTCAAGCAGACCACAAAACTAGTGAATTTATTATCATTCTTTTAACTTGTAAATTTTGGAAACAACTTTCCATTCTTCAACTTATTTGAACAAATTTTAATTTTGTGTTTTGACTATGCTCAGATAAGAAGTCTCTTTAGGAAGAAAAATCCACAGATTTCAGAGACAAAACAAAGTTATCTACAATAGTTAGGCTGTCTCTATAGGTGGCCATTCACAATTGCTCCAAATGGGACTGTGCCGAGCCGTATAGTTCCATTTGGCTTGCCTAAAATTTGAGGAGCACTCATGACCGCTCCACAGCCAGTTGCTCTGATCTAATCAACTAGTTAGTTAATCACTTCCTCAAAATGGATGATTTCTTGTACTACATTACTTTTGCGTATATATAAAAAGCGAAAAACTGAAGAGGAAATTGCAGAAGTGGAAATGGTGTAAGAAGTGGCTCCTGAATAGAAGCCATAATACCCATATCAATTTGATGAAATATCTTTCCTTTGAACCCGCTGTTTGGAGGAACTATTTAAGGATGGACGAAACGTCCTATGTATGTTTACTCCAGCTCCTTGATTAGAAAACAAAAGAGAGTCATGAGAGAAAGCATCACTCCATATGAAAGGTTGGCTGATGATTTCTCGCTACAGAGATGAATTTTTGTTTATTTCTATCGTGGTAATCATTGTCCACTATTTTCCATATCCATGGTAAACTTTTATACAATTCAATCACTCAACAATAAAATCTCAATTTGGATGTCATTGCCAATAAAGAACAAACGCTTTTGACTTTTGAGAATGTACGGCAGATATTTAGTCAATGACAGAAAGAAAGGGACTGCACAAAAACTAAAGATGGTGAAAGGTCAAAACATTTCGTGACAAACTAAAACAGACAGTCGGACACGGTTTGGCTTCTCCGCCACCTTCAGTGCTGGGTTTTTTCAAGATATAGTTAGATTGAGGTATTAACCCAGCACTGAATATAAGAGGCTGAAGTGTGCCTAATAGACTAAAACTACAAAGTCAGACTAAATGATCGGAAATGACCAAACCGCATGTTCATCACCCTTTGAAATAGACATTATAAGTGTCTAATAAGTACGTCAGAGATCAATGGGCAGTTTTATAAGAATATTTAGGCTTAGCTGTATGTTCTTCATTTTCCTGTTTCTTTCTTTTCCTCTATGCTCTCTCTTGACAGCTGAAAGGAAAGTTAAATATAAACTTGTAAGCCATCTTGTAATAAACGAGAATATTAGATAAGTTTGATAAAAAATGAATGAAATGAAAAGCAAGATTAAATATGAGGAATCATGTTGAGGTTCGCTGGGGTTGATCATCCTCAATTTATGGGTTGATTCATGCCCTGTTAGCAATTATTTTCATTATTGCATATCACCCACAAAATCAGAAAAAATGTACTTCCCTCAAATTTATAAATTAAGATTGTAAATTGTTCATTTTATTTCAACTAAATTATATAGAAACTTGTTTACAGAATGAAGCAAATCGTAGTTAACCAAACGGTGAAAATCCCTGACGGCGTGAGTTGCCATGTCAAGTCACGTCTTGTGACTGTAAAAGGGCCGAGGGGCACCCTTAAAAGGACCTTCAGGCATCTCGCACTTGACATTCACATGTTGAGCCCCAAAGTGCTCAAAGTTGAGAAGTGGTTTGGCACGAAGAAGGAGCTCGCAGCTGTCAGGACTGTCTGCTCCCACATAGAAAATATGATCAAGGGAGTCACCAGGGTAATTGTCGCTGAATATTGTTTTCGTAATATGCTAATTTGCTTCTAACTTGCCTCCTTTTTCTTCCCCATTCAGGGTTTCCTGTACAAAATGAGGGCTGTGTATGCTCATTTTCCCATCAACTGTGTAGTGACGGAGAACAACAGCCTTGTTGAGATAAGGAACTTCCTTGGTGAGAAATACATCAGAAAAGTCCGGATGGCACCTGGTGTCACTGTTACTAACTCAACAAAACAAAAGGATGAACTCATCATTGAAGGAAACAGCATAGAAGACGTTTCCAGATCAGGTCTGTTACGAAGAAATAATAATGTTAATTTATTTTGAACAATCTACTCATGGTTTGTTTTTATTTTCAGCTGCGCTCATCCAACAATCGACGACGGTCAAGAATAAAGATATTAGGAAATTCTTGGACGGCCTTTATGTTTCAGAAAAAACAACTGTCGTGCAGGATGAATAATAATCAATATACATCTTTTTAAATTAGTTTTTTCTTATTTTCTTGATCCTTAATAAATCCTGGATTTGAAACTTGACGATTTATTTTTATGTTTAGTATAAAAATTAGAAAAATGTTTCAATTAATTGATCTTTATGTAAGGTTGAGACAAAAAAAGTCAGTGCCATGAGCAGGGGAAGAACCCACGACCTTCAGCTAGATATGCCGCTACTCTACCACTTGAGCGATCATGACTTCACTCTACTTGGACACCAACTTTCCATCTCAACCCAACCTTTCGAATTTTCCCTCCTTTTTGCCATTTTTCAAATTTGATTGAATTTTGATTCTCAGCGACAAATGAAATGGCCACGGAGAGCTTTAGTGAAGAAATACTTCATTTAACTTAGTAAATTTATTAGATTTCGTGGTCCAATTGACCAAATAACATCTTTCCATTAATCAATCTTTACGTAAGTTATTGGTTGAGATCAAAAAAGTCAGTGCCACGAGCGGGATTTCAACTTTATCTCGTTTATCAATCATGTTAAAAATTGGTCAAAATATATAGAAAAACTTTCTTCTTGAAAAAAACAAAACAAAAAAACGTGTCCTACGAGCCTTTTACACCGAAAAAGGCACGAGGAGCCTTTTACATCGAAAAAGGCAATAAATTTGTTTCGATTTTTCCTACGAGCCTTTTTAACATCTAAAAAAAAATAATTTTTTTCGTTTTTCTTGAAAATAACGTAAAAAAACGTGTAGTACAAGCCTTTTACATCTAAAAAGACAATACATTTTTTTCTATTTTTTTGTTTTTTTCTTGAAAAAACGTGTCCTACTAGCCTTTTACATCGAAAAAAACAATTTTTTTTTCGTTTTTTTGCAGTTTTCTTGAAAATAACGTAAAAAAATCATGTCTTACGATGGTTTTACATCGAAAAAACAATTAAAAAATTTTCGTTTTGGTTTGGTTTTTTTTCGTTTTTCTTGAAAAAAAAAAAAAATCGTAAAAAACGTGTCCTACGAGCCTTTTACATCGAAAAAGACAATAAATTTGTTTCGATTTTTTTTACGTGTCCTAAGAGCCCTTTACATCAAAAAATACAATACATTTTTTCGATTTTTTGCGTTTTTCTTGGGGGAAAAAAGTAAAAAAACGTGTCCTACGAGCCTTTTCTACTAGTCAACTTCGTAAAAGTATGTTTTTTTTGCCCGTTTTTCTATTTTGAACCAACGGTTGAGTCGAGAGTTGCGAATGAAACCTGTCGACTAGTTCAACTTTATCTCGTTTATCAATCATGTTAAAAATTGGTCAAAATATATAGAAAAATATTCTTGAAAAAAAAAAATCGTAAAAAAACGTGTCCTACGAGCCTTCTACACCGAAAAAGGCAATAAATTTGTTTCGATCTTTTTGGTTTTTTTTTAAAAAACTTGTCCGAGCTTTTTTAACATGGAAAAAATTTTCCAAAAAAAAAAAGTAAAAAAACGTGTAGTACGAGCCTTGTACATCTAAAAAGACAATAAATTTTTTTGGTTTTTTTTTTTTTTTTTTTTTTTTTTTTTTTTTTTTTTTTTTTTTTTAAACGTGTCCTACTAAGCCTTTTACATCGAAAAAAAACCAATAATTTTTTTAAGTTTTTTTTGTGGTTTTCTTGAAAATATCGTAAAAAATCGTGTCTTACGAGCGTTTTACATCGAAAAAAACAATAAAATTTTTTTCGTTTTTCTTGAAAAAAAAATTAAAAAAACGTCCTACGAGCCTTTTCCACCGAAAAAGACAATAAATTTGTTTCGATTTTTTTTTTTTTTTTTGAAAAAACGTCCTTTTAACTTCAAAAAACTTAATAAATTTTTTTTCGATTTTTTTGCGTTTTTCTTGGGGGAAAAAAAAGTAAAAAAACGTGTCCTACAATCCTTTTGGACTAGTCAACTTCGTAAAAGTATATTTTTTTGCCAGTTTTTCTATTTTGAACTCGAAAGCTTTGTTGAGTCGAGAGTTGCGAGTTAGCGAATGAAACCTGTCGACTAGTTCAACTTGATCTCGTGTATCAATCTTTTTAAAAATTGATCAAAATATATAAAAAAACTTTTTTCTTGGAAAAACAAACAAAACAAACGTGTCCTACTAGCCTTTTACGTCGAAAAAAACAATAATTTTTTTCCGGTTTTCTTGGAAATAACGTAAAAAATCTTGTCTTACGAGCGTTTTACATCGAAAAAACTACATTTTTTTCGTTTTTCTTGAAAAAACCCCCAAATTTGTTTAGATTTTTTTTTTTGACAAAACGTGTCCTACGAGCCCTTTACATCAAAAAATACAATAAACATTTTTTCGATTTTTTTGCGTTTTTCTGTAAAAAAGATGTCTAAAAAAATTCGTAAAAGTAAGTAGTATAGGTGACACTTGGGGCAGACAGGTTTTACCCCCTCCACCTTCCCTGCCTTGGCGTCAGGCGTGATAGTTTTTACCACCTCTTTTCCTCCTTCCAGACACCTCCACCACAAGTCGTCGGGGTCTGATAGGGCCTAGGAGTGACGTTCTTTTCAATTGTTTTTGACGACTGACGTCACTGATTTTTTCAATGAGTTTGGCGAGTGACGTCACTGATTTTTTTTCACCACTATGGTATTTGATGAGGGTTGTGGCTACCTTTTTTTCACCATATTGTGTCATGGGTTAAGAAAAACTGCAGGTTTGAAAAATATATATATTATTTATAATTAAATGAATTCAATTTCGGGTCGACTTTGTATACTAGTGACATTTTCGTTGTGTTTCGCCGTACGAAGTTAACACGTCAGCGGTGATTATCTAATTGAAACGTTTCGGGAGGAATACTTTCGTTGAAGAAGAGTCTCCGATGTACGTAGGTCCGAAGTATTCAAGGTCGGCGACAATGGCATCGCCGTATTTCGTTGGGATTTTGACCAAACCCTTCACCTCCTAAGTGAATCCTACATTTAAATCGGAAATTTTTCTAATTCTTTTTCGAGCGGTGATTTGGTTGAGAGCACGTACGAGTTTCATAGAGTACATCTGTGAACATTTGTACAAAATAAATAAAGTTATGTATTCATATGTATTACCTTGTGTTATTTGGACGATCTCCTTCAGCGAACGCCTACGACGAAATGCATTATATTATCAAACGTAGACTAGCATGTTCCTGCACGTCTAATCCCTGTTGTGAAGAGAGTATCGAAGACCTGCAATGAATTGGAACTTGCAGTTATGGAATTATTCACAGGGAATATAATTGATGCATATGAGTCAAGCTGCCCTGTTAAGGTCCCAAAAAGTGAACCACCTTAGTGGAATGCAGAACTGGGCAAACTAAAGAAAGAAACCAGGAAAGCGTTCAACAAAGTTAGACTAGCAAGTAACTAGGGAAAATTTAAAAGGCTACTTACTTCAAATAACCATGCCATCCGCAGGGCGAAAAGAGAAAACTTTCGCAAATTCTGCGGAGAAATCTCCTCAGTATCTACAGCAGCTAGACTGCACAATGCACTAGCAAAGGACAGATCAGGCATAAACTCTGCCTTAACAAAATGCAGAAGGCAATTACACAGAAGACACGAAACAAAAAGCAATGCTCCTTCTAAGTACACATTTTCCAGGTAGTACTATGACATCTCCCCAGAAAATGTGAGAGTAGATAATCCCAAGAAAGAAAATTGGAAGAAAGCAGCTGAAATAATCACAGAGAAGAAAATCCTATGGGCGATTAACACTTTCAGCCCTTACAAAGCACCGGGAACGGATGGGATCGTTCCCATCCTGCTACAAAAAGGAACGGATATAATTACTCCAACATTGCTGCGAATATATAGAAGTAGCTTAGCACTAGGTTACATACCACGGATACGGCTTAGGGCAAAGGTGGTTTTTATACCAAAAATGGGGAAAAGAGACCCTACATTAACTAAATTCTACAGACCAATTAGTTTAACATCCTTTCTATTAAAGACCCTTGAAAAGCTGATAGACAACCGTATAAGCACTGGTAAACAAACCTCTCCATTACTGTCAGCATGCATACAGAGCACGAAGATCAACAGAAACTGCAATGTACCAGCTAACCAGTGACCTAAAGGAAACACTGGAAACAAAGGAAATAGCAATCCTCGATATTGAGGGAGCTTTCGACAATGCATCTCATGTATCAATGACGGCCTCCCTGGGGAAAAACCACGTGACTAAACCACATCTAGATGGATTGGAGAACTGCTAAGAACCAGAATAGCTGAAACAAACATAGGAACAGACACTATAGAGGATAGTGTCCACACAACAAAAGGATGTCCTCAAGGAGGGATACTATCACTTCTTCTATGGAGCCTAACAGTTGATGAACTGCTCGAAACCCTGGACCGTTCAGGAATAAAATGTCAGGGATATGCGTATGACATAGTCCTGACTGCCAGGGGAAAATTCGAGGAAACTCTCTGCGATATAATCCAAGAGGTAGTAAAAATCCCTGAAGAATGGTGTAAAAGCGCTGGCTTAGGGATCAATCCCAATAAAGCAACTATAGTCACTTTTACACGGAAAAGGAACCTTGATAATATGAGGCGAATATCACTCAATAACACCGTGATAGAAATCAAAAATGAAGTCAAATATCTGGCCATCACACTAGATAAAACACTAACATTTAAGAAACACATCATCTCTACCATCACGAAGGCGATATGAACTTTGATGATGTGCAGAAGAATAGCAGGAAGAAACTGGGGATGCAGACCGGAAACCCTGTTATGGATGTACACCATGATAGTAAGACCTTTACTTACATACGGAGCTATAGCCTGGGCTGATAAAGCAGAAATCCTACAATTAGCATGAAAAAAATACTAGGATTAATTCCCTACATCTCATGGTAGTAAGGACAGCGCAGAAAAACCATTATCAACTTTAACAAAGTGAAACCTTCAACAGGAATAAAACTGAAATGGAGAGATAGCAATAACAGGATGTTTGAATTTAACCAAAACTTCCGAATAAACCTGGGTACCAAAAAAGAATGGGAAAGAGAGGG